CGACAGTTTGGAACCATAGTGGCGCGAGAGCTAGTTCCATTCAGTCTTGTAGAGAGTTTCTGATGTTGAACACCAAAAGCTGCAGCTGCGCTCCGTTGGCTCCGAAATTGACCAGATCTGTAGGCATTAATAGCAAGCTCGATTCTGCCTTCTTGATTATCTAATAACATGTCTTGTTGTTGAGATATTATAAAGGAAAGATGATGTTTACAATGCCAAGGAAAAGTGGCGGGTTCGGTGGTGTGGCCGGCTCGCTGATGGATTACGTTATACACTTGCCCCAACTTCGGGCAACTTCGTTGTTGACTTCTTACCACATCCATTCTTGCTATGCCACATCCATTCTTACTATGCCACTGACAGTCGAATTCGACGCGGACAGCGCAACTCCGCCAGACGGCGGTTACGGCTGGGTCTGTGTCGCCTCATTATTCTTGGTCAATTTCTCAACATGGGGTGCGGTGGCGGTACGCGCGAGTTCCACGGACTCATGTAGGATCACAATCACATCGCTTACTACCACGCATACTAGTCTTTCGGCGTATATCTATCATACTATCTCGGCACCGAACTCTTTCCCGACTCGTCGGACCTGGAGTACGCCCTCGTCGGTGGTTTCAACTTTGCGTGCGCGATGATCGCGGCTCCGCTTGTGACGAGGCTTACCCACCGCTTCGGCAAATTCGCGACGATGTCGATTGGAATTGTGCTTCAGACCAGCGGCTACGTTGCGGCCGGCTTTTTGAATCAAATCTGGCAGCTCATGATTACCCAAGGAATTCTTGTTGGCCTTGGTATCGGCTTCATCTACGTTCCCAGCTTGCCTATTCTATCCCAATGGTTCGAGGCCCGCCGGAGCCTAGCAAACGGGATTGCGAGTTCCGGCTCTGGTTTCGGAGGAGCTTTATTCGCCTGGGCGACAGGAGCGATCATCGATGCCTTCGGGCTGCAATGGGCCCTATGTGCGACTGGTCTGATCACCTTTTTTCTTCTTGTCATTGCGACAAGTCTGCTTCGCGATCGTAACAAGTACATTCGACCGCCACAGTTAGCTTTCGATACTTCTTTGCTCACGAGGTATGACGTCCAACTTCTGCTTGCGTGGTCTTTCGTGAGTATGCTGGGCTACATCACACTTTTGTTCTCATTGTCCGACTTTGCGCTCTCCATTGGTTGTTCGCCACAGCGGGCCACTAATATCATCGGCTTCCTGAATATTGGCACCGCTATTGGCCGCCCGGTCATTGGTATCGCGAGCGACAAATCTGACCGGATCGACGTCGCGGGTGCTTTGACCCTCGCCTGTGGTTTATCATGCTTTGCTTTCTGGATACCAGCTCAATCTTATCCGCTTTTGGTGTTCTACTCGCTGCTTGCGGGCGCCACATTAGGGGTGTTCTGGATGGTAGGTTTGGCTGTTGCCGCAATGTCGGGCCTTCTCACCAAGTCTCCCTGCTTGCTAATTATTGGGCCGACAGACAATCGGTCCCCTTTGCGTCGAAGTTGCTGGACTTGTGCATCTACAGTCATTACTCTCGTTATCGTGGACGACAATCATCCTGCCTACCACGTGTAAGCACGAGTTCTGCTTCAAAAAAGCTTACAGCAAGACTAACGGTGATGCCCGTAGTCTCACAAACCATCGCACTCGAGATACGGCGACCGAACTCCGCGAGACCGTATCTGTTCCCACAGCTGTTTGTTGGGCTTTCCTACGTCTGTGCCGCGCTGATCATGATGGAGCTGAGGCGTGTCAAACGTAAAGAGCGCTAAGCACAGAGGAAAAACAATGAAGAGAAGTTTGCTGTGCAGCATTATCACCATGGTAAGCCATTCACACGCTGAGGGTTCGGGGAGACAGAGGAAGCCTCGTGTGACCAGCAACATCAAATCATTTTACAAAATTCGCTTCACATCAGACAGCGCTCACCATTTAGACTCATCATATCCTTGCACATACTGCAGGTATTCACCCTTCTCACCAACCCAGCCTTTGATTCCTCCTTCAAGTACAAGACTCTGCATGGTCTTGTCTGAACGCTCCTCAAGGTAGTCAGCGAACCAAGCCGCAGCGCGGTTGCCACGGCCGCGCGATGATCCTACACAAGGTCAGCACAGAATTCGAGTGACTCTTGGACGTAGAACGTCCTCGTCCTGGAACAAGGTATATGTCGAGCGTACCGCAATACCAAATGACACGTTGGACACCAGCAGCCCGGAAGATGGTGTAGAGCGAAGGGATCGTCGGGTAGATGCTTTGAGCAGGTAGGTTTATCGAGCCTTGGATAGTGCCGCCCTACAAGGCCGATCAGCATTTGAACTTGCCAACCCCTTGAAACGTGTCCTGTAGCAAATCATACCTCAAAGTCTGTCCTACGCAAATCTACAAGCACTGCCTTATGCCCTTCCGTGCCTTGCTTCAGCAGCTCTAGCACCTGGGAGCGAGCAATAGAGTGTGGCTTCGATTGCGCCTGGGGGTAGGCAGCATACCAAGGTTGTTCAGCGCTGTCGGCGGATGACGTCGCTTGAGCGGCCATGGTGAAACGGACGAGCAACAGAGCAGGCTGAGATGAACGTTGGCGGTGTAATGGCAAGCGCGAGTACAAGGGCAAGTAAGAGCTGTGGAAGGAAAGTGCTTTGAGATTTGATTGAAAGCCTCGTAATCTTCTGCGTTGGCCAAGGCCGATCAATCTTGAACTGAGCGCTGGTGGACTTGCTTGCATATGCAATCAATGAGATCGAAGGAGTCGACTGCCCAGGTGTTTGCATGGTGATTCACGACATCCTTGCTGCTTTTCAAGTTGGTCGTCACGGCCCGTGTCCTGCCAATGCGCCTCACGTCGCTTGTGCGCATCTAGAATGTCACCAGCAAAGGCATGATCAAAACACCTGTATCAATGGCTGCAAGGGAATGACATGCAATAGCTTGGCAGAACATTCCGGAGATATCTTCCATCGGTCATCATGACTAGCCCTCCACCAGACAGCTGACTTATTGTCGACCCGAGCCGGACAAATGAAGGGTCGGCAATGACATTCTAGGACGCACGTGCGGAGCCCGCTTCGTTCCCAAAGCGTACTAGCTGCAAGATTTGAACCGTGGGCATGTCTAGATGCCGTTCCATGGATCGCCTTGTATCATCGTGCACACATGTCACCTCGTCGCGAAGAGGCGAGCGTCGCGGCTACATAGAGACCTCCATGACTTCGCATACCAACGGAAATTTCTCAACATTGTCCTTTCATCGACACGAGCCGTAACAGCAGCGAAATATTGTCAATTGCCACAATACGAACATTTGCCCAACAGCATGGCGACCGCTGCGACAACACCTGATCGCGCTCACAGCGCGATGGAACCATCCAGCATGACTGGAGACGCCCATTTCAACACAGATGCGGAGAAGCAGACTCCCTCCCCACCGCCTGAGGAGGAGAAGTCGTCTGCTTTCAAAGCCCTCGGTTGGCTCGACCGTCTGCTCGCGCTGTGGATCCTCCTCGCTATGATCATCGGCGTCCTGCTTGGCAACTTCGTTCCTGAAACAGGACCGGCCCTACAAAAGGGAAAATTTGTTGGCGTGTCCATTCCGATAGGTATGCCTTTGCCGTCGCCCAGAGCTCGAGAGCGGTCTTGACTAATTTGAACGTGGTTGCTTGTAGCCGTCGGCTTGCTCGTCATGATGTATCCGATCTTATGTAAAGTCAAGTACGAGACTTTACATCAAACCTTCCGTTCCAAGCAGCTCTGGATCCAGGTGGCGTTCAGCGTCTTCGTCAATTGGATCGTTGCGCCTTTCTTGATGGTTAGTCTCCCAGGCACAAACTCCGGCGATGCTAGCTAGAATCACAACACGCTGACCCTGTGTAGCTTGGACTGGCATGGGCATTCCTGCCAGACCAGGCCGGACTTCGCGAAGGCCTCATCCTGGTCGGACTAGCACGCTGTATTGCGATGGTAAGATTGGAATTCTCTCCTACGTTCTCGATCTCTTTCGCTAACCATTTCGCTATAGGTCTTGATCTGGACCGAGCTGGCTGGCGGTGACAACCACTACTGCGCAATCTTGGTGGCCATCAATTCCGTTCTCCAAATCGTACTCTATGCGCCGATGGCGATTTTCTTCATCAACATCATCAGCCATTCCAAGTCGGAGGTCACGGTCTCATATCCAACCGTCGCAATCAGCGTTGCCGTTTTTCTTGGGATTCCCTTGGGTGCTGCTGTCATCACGCGATTTGCGCTACAATGGCTCGCAAGCCCCGAATGGTATGATCGGGTATTCCTGAAGTATCTCTCCCCTTGGTCCCTCATTGGCCTGCTTTACACCATTCTCGTGCTTTTCGCCAGCCAGGGTCGCCAAGTCGTGCACCAGATTGTCTCCGTGGTCCGGGTTGCAGCGCCCTTGGTCGTGTACTTTTTCGTGATTTTTTCCGTCACCCTAGCGGTCTCGCACCGTCTCGGGTTCGGATACAAGCTGTCGGCCACCCAAAGCTTTACTGCCGCGAGTAACAACTTTGAGCTTGCCATCGCTGTCGCCGTGGCAACATATGGGCCTGACAGCGATCAGGCACTCGCTTCTACTGTGGGACCGTTGATCGAAGTGCCGGTGTTGCTTGGTTTGGTATACTTAGCGAAGTGGTTGGCCAAGCGGCGTGGGTGGAAACAGTGATGGCCGCCACATTAGATCAACAGTCAATGTATTTTTAAAGCAATCGCCAAGAAAACATGAAAAATTCGGTGCGTCTTGGATCTCGCGTCTCGTGTCCCTTCACGCGTTTCGCTTTGCCTCCTTGGTCTTCCGTTCCTCCCTTTCACTGTACCTGTCACCCATGAGTCCAAAATGCGGGCGCATCAAAATCGTATATTTGACAAACTCCTCGACACAATCAACCACGCGGTCCCTGTTGCCTCCTTCTATCAGCCTTGATCCTCCTTCGCTAGCGGTCTCTTCAGTGAAGAGGGTGTAGGCTTTCGGAATCGAGGACTGGTTGGGTATGGCGAACATTCGCATCCAGCGACCGAGAATACGAAGGTTGTTCACAGTGTTAAATGACTGCGAGCCTCCTGAGACCATCGCTAGACCTAGAGTGCGGCCTTGTGTGGGTCGAACACTGCCGGTCGAGAGTGGAATCCAGTCAATCTGATTCTTGAAAACAGCAGTCTGTATATCAGGAGTGGTTAATGATGTCACGGCGAATAAGGTAGGATGGCGTCAAAGGGCTCGCATACCAAGTTCCCGTGCTGCTCGGGGGAGATCCAGAAATGACCATCGCTCCATCGGCTCAGGTCGCGCAGTTCTTGGACTTTGGGGTGCATATGCTGTACATCGTCTTTCATGGGGAGACCGGAAGGATCGTAGACGCGGACATCGCAGCCAAGACGCCAGAGAGTGCGAGAAATCTCAAAGGCGAGCAATTTGGAGTAGGAGCTACAGGCTGTCAGCTTGGAAACAAACGAAATTCAAGTTGAATGGGTGTGCAGCGAGTTCGTGCATACCGTTGTCTTAGACTACCGTATAGTACCAGCACTTTCAGCCGCTGGCCGGTCTTGACAATGTCGTCGTGGGCCATCTCTGCCACAGTGGCCAGCTCCAGCTTCGAAACCCAATCCTCGGCTGCCACGGCGGCGTCGAGACGGAAAGGACGATACTTTTCTGCTATCTCAGGGTCGTCCTCCTCAGTCGGGATCTCGAGGGACCGATAAGCGAAGTCTTCATTCACGCCTAGTTTCTCGATCTGACGCATTGACGAAGTGTTGTTGAGATCTCCTTGCGCGGGAGCCGACTCGGATATGTTATATTGCGGTGTGCGTGTCCCTCCCTCCGTGGGTTGGTCTAGTCGAGCTTGGTGAGGTAACATTGTACTGAGTCGCGCCCTCGTGCTCAATGTGACGATTGGGTAATGGAAGCGAGGCGAGCGGCTCGATCGACAAGCGGCAATACCAGCAAATGTTGACTGACGTGCGCACTTGACGAGAGGCGGACCGCAGATGTTCATTGTCTGTTCGAATTACAGACCATCGAAGAGTAGCATCCTTATATCTGATAGACAAAAGATGCCTAGGTATTTGCCATTTCATCTGGGCAGGGTTGATGTACGATTCTGGTTTGACGCAGTGCAAGTAGCTTGGAGGAAGGGCGTCACTAGACAATAATGATTGGCCGAATTTCCTGCAGGGCACGGCGGCGGCCCACGCAAGTTCTCCCCGTTCGGTGAACGATTCCTACCACAGCACTCGACCTGCCTAACACACTTGGAATGTTTATTCCAGGCAAGTGATGATATCCTAGCCAATGTAATTTAACTCCACTTCCATCATGCGCACAAGCGCTGATGAGGAACTCGATGGCTGAAATATTATATCAGCGAGAAGTCTCAAAACGAGAGCATAAAATACATCAAGTAGGCTGATAAGCACACACCCCGAAGCTTGCATTTCAGCTTGCACGTGTGATAGTCGCATCCGCAGTGGATGGATCATGATGCACTCGTCCCCTTTGCGGAGCACGTTGTAAAGTGGTGCAATATGGTATCCTGAGGCAGTGTCTCGCGCTCGGGAGCAGAATGCTGCCTTCTTCGTGAGGCCGCATTTCGATGGCTTTTGTTCGCTGGTATGGTTGGTGTACGCTGTAGAATGTAGAAACATACTCATCCTCAACTATTCTCACTCTCACCGGTAGTCTCACCGGTACGAGAGGCAGTGCTGGCTGTGAATGCTGAGCTTGCGGCCTCTGTCCCTGTCTCTCTCTGGGAAACGTCTGACCCAACGAGGCCGCACTTTGTTGGCTGTTTCTCGCCGATGTGATTGGCGCACGCTGTGAAAAGAGAAGAAATGCTCAAGCTCTGGAAAACGCCACGGACACCGGTTTTCAAAGCGGCAGTGCCGGTGTTGATAACGAGCTTTCCATTGGATGTCAATTGTGCGACGAGTAACTTCTGCGCTCGTAGTGTCCATCCTCAGATACGCGCTTTCCCGTCACCTCTGCAACAGAGACACGCTGCTAAAGGGAACAATTGTCCAACCTTACAAGTTATACGTCGACTCATCAAAATAATACGCTGGCAGTTGCGGCAGTGCAGGTCCAAGTCGACGAAATCATGGATACTCGCTCGGACTGAAGTCTCTACGTTCGATGGGCAACACGGATAAGGATGGGCTGCTCAGCTTCGTTTCGTTTCAAATTCATGCGATGGACTTCACGTACACGACAGCAGAGCGATTCCACATAAAGTACAGAGTGTATCTTAATGGGCCGGTCAATCAATGAACACCCGATCCAATTGAATGTTATGTGATCAGGATACACACAGCGTCCAGGCGGTCAGCCGAAGCTGTATTTTAGACCCGAACACAACTCCACGGTTACTTCAGAGGGTAGAATGGGACAATGTATGCTTGAAATCTGGCGCTCGCTATGCATCGTCGAAGGCCGCGTAATCTTTCGCTGCTATTAGAAGCTGTGGTTGGGACACAGGATAGACAGAAAATAAATTCACAACAGTCGACAACATTACCGTAATGTTGCTTGGCAATGGATGCTGTAGAAGCAGCGCGAAGTTGAGAACAGGGTCAGTGGCTTGCTGCTCATCGGTTGACTGGTTCGCATTGTCAACAGAGAAGAAATGCTCAGCATTCGTGGGTGTCGCGCGCTTATTTCTCCCATTGGCAGTGCCAAATGTCTAGACCATGCTCGGTTGCTCGCTGTTCTTCATTTGACTGGTTCACATCGTGTGCAGAGAATAACTGCTCAACAATTGTGCGGAGTGCCGAGATGCTTATGCAGCAGCGGCAGGGCAGGTTTTGGGGATCAGCTATGCTTGCTCGACAAGATGTCTCTTCTTCGCAGCGCAGCAGACAGTGCAGCAGCGAGGGCATTGTCAAGCTCGGGGCCTACCATGTTTCTTGAGAATCGCTCCATACTATTCCCATCGCACAATTGACCAGGCTGGAAGTATTGCCCACGGAATCCGGCAGTGCTGAGTCAACCTCTTGGCGATGCAAGAAGAGGCCGCCCCGTCCGGGAGTGTCTTGAGGGGCAGTGCAGTGATATACGGCTGTAGAGATCATTGGCGGACGCGGAGAGACGCGACTTCGGACCATGTCCCCGCCCGGTCAGAACCCGGTCAGAACTCTTGTGGCCTACCTGCCTCCGATGACCCAGCCACAACTTCTGCCTCTGAGCTCATCAGGACTTCTCCTCATGACTTCATCAGAAGTTGGGATGAAGGTGTCAAAACGTGATAGATACGCTCGCATTGTCAGCCACATCCTTAATAGAGCACGCAGACCAAGGGCGAAATATGCTAAGATGCTACTCGAATGGCTGTCCTGCGCTGCAAGAGTTCTTACGTGGCGTGAAATCCAGGCGGCAACCTCGATTGATGCACCTCGTCTGACATTCGATTACAAAGGGCATCAGAGCCTTCGACATTCACGATAAGCTGCTAGTCAGTATGGCTGCGATGCACTGTCTCATACCGCCCATGATCCAATGTGCTCAGATTTGGATCATGGACTTCCTTGAAGACATGCCACGTTATACGCCAAGTGGTTCTTTGCGCCCATAGGAGGAAGGATTCTTCGCGATCTGCGGCCCGAAATTTATGACTCCGGCGACGAGGACATTACGCATGGACTTTTGCGAATTTGCCAACAGGCGAGCGAGGGAAAACAGCATTCGCAGTCGGGTTCGCCACAGCGTTCGGCGAGTCTAATCGTAGGTGGGCCCCGAGCAAAGACGCGATGTGAGCAGAAAGGTTGAAAGGTCATAATCATTTATCGCATGGAAACATTAGAAGCAAGATGATGGTATGAAGCCCTGAGAATTCATACAGGTACTGACGCATCGCCAACCCAGCCAGCTTGGAGAGCAACCTGCCCATCGCAGTGCCCAGAGACAAATTTGGTGATAGGTCTGCTTTCGAAAGCTTTTCACGCAGATTGAGGGCGGGCTTCTGCCCGGCCGAAATATCCTGCCGCGGGGTCAAGGATAAGGCCAAGACCGTTGGTAATGGCAGCCTCGTTATACGAATACTGGTAAGACGTGACTGCGGCGTGGTGGTCAGTATCTTTTGCGGAGTGGTGTCAGGGCGAAACATAGAGGACTTACCGGCTCCCGCCCGCGTTCCCTGCATGCCGATTGTTGCAGAGATACCTTGATCTGTCGTGCCGAAGTAGTTCAAGAAGACTCGGCCTGGCTGGGCCTCATAGAAGGTTGCGCTGAAGCTGTACAAGGGCCCATCCGAAGGCGCATTGAAGGCACCCATGCGCCAGTCGAATGTCACGCTACGCGATCCTGATGCTCCACAGATGCTGAAATCCATGTAATGACGTTGACCGGCAAAAATGTATAAGTCGTCGTGGAATGCAAATAGGGCAGGCTGTGCAACCCCAAGATTGCCCAAGCTGTAGGGGATGGGTCTGTTCGTGTATGTCGCTGTTTCAAAATCACCGAGCGTGATCATTCCATTGGTAGTCGGATGCGCAATAGACGAGCAGGAGTCATAGATGCAGATCGGAAAAGGTAGCTCGATGGTCGAACTGTAGTCATCGTAAGAGTCAGTCGCTCTGGTAAAGTCTCCGAAGATAAGACTTGGGCTAGAGCCGTCTGAGCAGGTCGATGGGTATTGGGCGCAGTTGGCATCGCTGATCTGAGTAGCTTGAGCGGTCTGAGTGATGGTGTTGGTTCCAGTAGCAACCTGAGAACAGACCGATGCAATTTCACGAGGGTCACGGCCCAGTAGAATGCTGGGGGTCACTGGTGCTTGTCGGCGACGCGCTGCTTGAGTTGTGGTCGTAGGTGCGACACTGCTGGAGGTATCCAAACCGAGCGAGCTTACTGCCTCCGCAGTAGCCGAGGCGAGAGCTGCAGCGACTGTGATGGACCCAGCAGCGATAGTCACAGACGCAGCAGCGCCGGTGGTTTGAGGAGCAATCTTTTCCGGGTAGACGGCAAGAACAGCTTCGACAAATCCGCCAGCCGTGTTCTCGCGCTTTCTAGCTGTCAGCGTGGGAGCTGCGCAACGTTGGATCGTAGTCGTGCCACTGGTGGCGGTCACTGTCACCACGGGCGCGACGTAGCTGTTGTAGGATGTGCAGAAAGCACCGGCAGCTGAGTCTTGTTTCAGCTGGAGCACGTTGTTTGGGCATACTGGCGTGACCACATCTGTGGCATTCTTCACGAACACACTGGACGAGATGGTGAAGTGGTTGCCCTTGGAATCCCATTGGCCATCATTCACAGCGTATACCGCTGGATCCCAGTATTGAGAGTATAAAGAGCAGACTTGTCCCTGGCTGACGTAGTTTTTACTCAGGATATAGGTGTTGAAAAACTTGCAAAGGGTTGGGGGCTTAGTTGGATCCGGATTGTGATTAGTGTTGTAGCTAGAGGTGTCGGAGCAAACGGCAGCGCAGCGTTGCGGATCGAACGGCGCACCGTCATTGAACAGGCGCATGCCTAGGTATGTGTATGCGCCGTTGCAATTCTCAATTGGTGAATTGATGGCTGCCGTGTTTTTCAAACCGAGGGCGGAAGTCAAGGTGTATCCATTGCTACCTGCAATGACGACACGGTAGTTGGCACGCCACTGTCCAACATTTTTGGCATTCTCAGGGTAGACCGGACCACCCCAAAGTACACAAAAGATGTTCGCGGTAGGAGCGGGATTGGGACAATTGGAGCCTGGGACCAGGGAAGGGCTGCGCTCAAAGTAGATGTTGAACGACTGGCAAAGCTTCGCCTTGTTGCATTTGGCGGCACAGGCAGCAGTGTCATACGAAGATAGAAGGGAGTATCTGTTCAGGAAGTCAGGTGAACAGTCTGACGCGTTTTCACTCTATGGTGCGTTCCACATACCCCATATAACCATGCGCTTGCGACGCAGCCTTCACATTGGTGAAAGTGTTGGTATATCCGGATGGAGTCGGCGCTTGGTCTGCTACTCCAGCGAGGTTGGAATCGGCGACAAAAGATTCCGGTGGAGACAAGTTGGCATTGTAAATGTTCGATGTGGTGGGAGCTGGAGCGCAGGCGGCTTGCCGAGCCTCAATGATTGGGCCGGAAATGCCAGTGTCTCGTTTTGTCGGCCCGGCTTCGACGATGTCCAGAGGACTGTCACTCCCGGCCTCGGCGCGATCATGCGCGATAGCAGACGCCCGGTCATAGGTGACTGTCTGAGAAGGCGCGTCTAAAGCAATCGTGAAGGTAGGATCAGGCTCCGAATTGACAAAGTCGAGATCAATTAGCTGTGCCGACGCTAAGAGGCATTGGCCCGCAATGGCGGCGAGAGTTGAGAAACGCATTGCGGCGCAAATGGGCTACGAAGCGTCAAACAGGAGTAGGAATATCGCAATTGATAGCGCTATGTTGTAGAGACACTTACAGATGGAGAAAAGGATAACCCATACTTATGTGCTTGCCTCGTCGCTATTCAATGTTGCCTTATTTCTGGCGCATCGCGTGAACCGCGCTGTACTCACGTATCGACAGTCCATAGCATGTCACTTATCGTAGCCACAGAGCCATAAGACTGAAGTCAGACCGAGATCGTGAGCCTTGCTGCGGAGGAGTCTATCCTGATGCCGATCGAATGACAAGTTCGCTTGTTGGCCTTGGCATTGGTCCCCGCCGAACGCTCACATAGCTTCATGTGTACGTCTAGTCTGGTCTGTCTCGAACGTACCATACATGAGGACTTTACGCCTGCTATGTGCGCTACAAGCAATGCATGAAGGCGAAGCCCTTGTGACGTGAGTCGTGAAAAGTATGCAAGAAGAAGTTGCACATCATCTGAGACAATGCGTGCCGCAATATATTGATGAGGTGATGTTGAATCCCTGCGCCGTCTAGTGCGGCTGGGGACACCGATGAGCTTTCGCAGTTCATATCGATCGAACCATCACGCGACACACGCCAAGAGCTCCAGAGCAGCCATTGTACCGATGGGTAATTCTTGTCTCTGGGTAGGTCGAGCGTCAGTATATACACGGTACAGGACGTATGTACGGTACAGTAGGTAGTTACAGTGGGTTGAATGCTTGTACCAGGCCACGAAGGGGATTAAAGTGGAAGTGCAATTTAACACCGGTCGACAAAGGCGAATATTTGGGCGCGAGTCATGCACCGCCATGTTTTCCTGGCGCACACTGTTTGCTCAGCCCTACCAGACCTTTTGGCACTACAACAACACAGGATATTCCAGACACAATCCTTGGATGGGAAGGGTTGAGACTTGAGCGCCGACTGAAATACTTGCGACAATGCTTGCGTGGAGCTAAGGATGACGAGTGTATTGAAGACAACAGATTATCGCGTCTGCATCTCTGGTGCACTCAGGCGCTGCGCCCACCAAGGAACACGTCACAGGCTGTACGCCCGCAGCCCACCGCGCTCTTTTCCTTCATTGCTCTTGCAGTAGATCCTCCTGTGCATTCTTCTCCCTTCACTAATCATCGATATGCACGTCTTGCTTTCAAAGTAGAGAATGCCCATCCAATTTGCTAGCGCTCCAGAGGCACTGCTCGGCCGCAACGACAGCAAAAACGCTGCAACGACTTGTAAGGGCATTACGAGTTCAGGCAGACCGTGCAGAAGAGCATTGGCAGTAGCTAGGGCCACGACTTTCCAAAATCATGCCGGCAACGGAGTCTGGCTTTACTGTTGGCAGCACAAGGATCAAGCAGGAGCTGAAGTGGGAGAGGAGTATGAGGAGGACGTTGCGAAAGGCTCCAGAGGGAGGCGCTCGACAGAGTTGGAGCCGTTGCAGGAACGGACGAGTCTCGACACTTTGGTGCAGCGACTAGGAATACACGATACACCGCAGGAAGAGAGTCAGCAACGAAGAGCGAGGAAAGATGCAGGTCGGCTGAGACCAGCGCGGGAAGACCGCCACTCGCGACAAGTATATACTCAAGATGAAGCCATAGTTTACAACGCACCTCAGGTTGGACAAACGAGACCAAAGCCACGGCCTCGCCCAAAACAGCAACCCAGCTTTTGGCAATCTTTGTGCTGTATTGTAGATAATGATGACTATCTAGAGGTTGTTCGACATCGAAAGAGAACGGAGCAAAACATGCCATTGCAGAGCGTTGTCGATGTACAGCCTACACCAAGGCCAGCCATGATTCAATCACCTTCTTCTCTTCCTTCCCGAACCAATCCTACTCCGGGCGGTGATGGCCGGAGATCGTCCAGACCGAACACCTCTCGAAGATATTCATCGCGCACAGAGCAGCTATTTTCCATTATACCCGCAAACCTTCCCCCGCAGACAGCGTCATCACTCCTCGCCGAGCTCGTCAAACCGATCAGTCCAAACGACGAGGAGGGCTACATCTACATCTTCTGGCTGACGCCGCAATCTAAACAAGTTCCCACAACATCCACAGCACGATCCCTCCTAGCACCACCTGTCTCGTTAGAGCGACCTCGCTCACACCACCGCCGCATCAGCGATGTCATGACAGAATATTCCTTCAGCGGCTCGGCGGAAGAGACCGCCGGCGAAGACGTCGTGATGCTGAAAATCGGCCGCGCCAACAACGTCACCCGCCGGATGCACGAATGGCAGCGACAATGCGGCTACGAACTCAACCTCGTACGCTGGTATCCGTACATTCCTACCTCCTCGCCTTCACCACAGCCTTCACCCGAGCGACACGGGCAATCACAGCCACAGCATAATCGACGGCAGAGCGGTCTAGTGAGGAAGGTCCCGTTTGTCAAACGTGTGGAGCGACTGGTACATCTCGAACTCGCGCAGAAACAGGCCAAAAGTCAGTGTGAGGCGTGTGGACGGGAACATCGAGAGTGGTTCGAGGTGAAGGCGAGTCAGAAGGCCGTGAAGGATGTTGATGATTGCGTCAGGAGATGGGTGGAATGGGCGGAACGGAAGAGGGATGCAGAGCTCGGGGGCACAAAGTAGGATTGTTTGGAACTTGCGAGTCTGGATGTTGGTATAACGAGAGCTGGGCGCAACACCTTTTTACGAGATTGTGATGTATGGATGTGATGGGGCGAAGTTTTCGGATGACATGATGAACGACATACCTAGACGCATCCTTAGGAGAGAGTGTCACATCACAGCGGCACATATGAGCATACGCCGAATGAAAGCAATCGGTGCTCATACCTCAACCTTGAGAGTATGATTGATAGGGTAGCTCTGATCGATGCGTTGTATGTACCAATTCCGCATAGCTGCGGCACTGCCTCTCGTTTTCCACGACGGCTTGCACTCTGGCAGTCTATGCTGGATCACTCGAGGAGTGACAATCTCGCGTGTCTCTGCTTGCACCAATGAAACGTCAGCCATGCAGTCCGCGCCATGTTCTGGTCGCCATGGAAAATGGTTATGTTCTGCATCCCTGGTCAGCCTCGAAAGACGAAGGTGAAGTTACCATTACCGACGATGACTTTTGCGCCACGCATACATGAGCTACAGTCTCGTCATGTATGATCACACGAAGTGCATGTATAACATGTTTTCAATGCGAGAACATTTGACACCCATTGAAACTACAGTGTAATCGTTCAGAGCCTTGAACGAAAATGCCCGGCGGGTTTCTTATTCATGAATATCCTGCGATGTTTACACAACTTAAATGCACAATTTCACTGTCATGGCAATGTTTCTCTTACCAGGTCCGCCTATGTCCTCCGATTATTACTCCCTCGTGACCGTGGTTTCTTGATTGGGACGAATCATAATGCTCCTGTGGCATGGTTGGGGGCTGAGAACAGCAGGACAACCATTGATGGGCATCAGCCACTCTGATATAATTGTGACACGGAGCGGCCTCCGCCGTTTTGAGGATCCGGTGCACTGCCTCCCAAATTTTGAAGTCGTGACTGAAAATACAGAATGTAATACAGCACGGCAATTTTGTAAGGGAAAATCGACAGATTTCTCGAGCGCGAAGGTCGACACGAAAGCTCGACCATTTCTATCTTTTTGGGTCGCGCACCAATCATAAGCGGCGTAGAAGGCGTGGGGTCTTGAAGATTCGCTGAACGCACCTGACGGCCAAAGAAGGCAGTACGTTGGTGGACTCTTGATTTCGGTGAGACTAAAGGTAGGAGAATTCGGTAGGAGAATTTCTATGAATCTTGCACTGCCTCTAGCAATAGAATATCCGTGTTGATGACAGCGCTTGATGCAAAATCTCGACGACATGATTTGTCTCTGTCCCCACACTAATCATATATTGCGAATTGACTGTGTAGCTAGGCACGAGAGACGCAAGACTTGTAGGAATACGAGGGTGCGAAGGAGAAGCCAAGGTGCGGCCTCTCGAGGTCTAACAACAGATTCGCCTTGAGATCACAGCATGATGCACTGCCTCTTAGCAAATGGATCTACACAAGATTCGAGAAGCTCGACGATATCCTTTATTCTTGTAAGTGCGCAACCTATCATGTCGCGAATCACCAGTGAGGCTGGGCACTAGAGATGCACAACGACAGATTCGTCATAGGGTTGCAGCATGCTGCACTGCCTCATCCGCCAAGCGGTTTGACGCAACACCGAGATCTCGACGATATTCTGTGTTTCTACCATTGCACCAATTATCTACCGCGAATCGCTCTGTAGCCGCGCACTAGAGATTACTTGCATGAACATCAGTCTGCATAGGCGAAAGCCAAGCTGCCGCCTCTCGATGTTCATTCAGCACTGCCTCCCAAGGTATGAGAGGCGACCCAACTACGAAATCTCGACGATATCATGTGTTTCTGCATGTGAACCAATCATCAATCATGAATAGCGAAGGCCGAATGCAATCGAGGCACGCCACAAGGCAAAGGCTGTCGGGCAACAACGAAGCATGGAGAACTTTGCGGCCCCGGGCGTGTCCACTGCCAAACACACACCAATATTCGCGGAGAGTAAATGTCAAGATGAAAACGGACGTCTGTTGGAATCAAGATGTTACAATGTGGATTGTACTATATCCGAGTCGCCGCCGGTGTTAGTGATACATGATCTCAAGGAAATATTCTGTGCTTTGCTTTGCCCTGTGCAATAGCCAGAGGCCGTGAATATATATACAGTTTCCAGCTGTCGAAGGCACGACGTTGGCGGAGATTGGATCGCTGCGATAGTGAAGGAAGGGCGGTTCAGCTCACAACTTGAGAAACTTTAAGAGTACTGCACTGCCTCCCGAGCTGGCACTACGTCAATGGCCGTCCGAATCTCGACGATATTTTGTGTTTCTGCCCCTGCACCAATCATATATCGCGTATGAACTATGTAACAGGGCACTACCGATGCAATGCTTGCAGGAATTCCAGGGTGGAGCCGAAGCCAAGGTGCGGCCTCTCGAGGTCTAACAACAGATTCGCCTTGAGATCACAGCACGATGCACTGCCTCTTGACTATTCGGGAATTTACACAAAATTCGAGAAGCTCGACGATATCCTGTGTTCTTGCAAGTGCACCAATCATATATCGTGAGTCGACCACGTAGCTGGATACTTGCGACGTAAGACATGCAGAAATCCGATTCCCAGGGTGGGTGCAAGCGAAGCCAAGGTGTGGCCTCTCGAACTCCAACCACAGATTCGGCATGATGTCGCAGCATGCTGCACTGCCTCTTGCATTCGGGGAGAAGATCCCGTGTCTAGTGCAGTCACGACGATATTTCGTGATTCTCCCCGTGCATCAAGCGAGAACCGCAATATTGGGAGCTTTCTGTGCCCTTCAAGCTACAGAAAACGTTTGGAAGGCCGCCTTCATAAAGTACGAGAGGCTCGAGCTTGTCATGATTCTCCTGATTCTTCGCTCTGTCGAAGTACGGCCTTGGGCTTGTGCGAAATACAGCGATTTACAACAATAATGTAATATTGGGAGCCGTCGTCGTGTGAACGGCAATATCTTCTGTGTCGCGGTCTCCGTGAAACGGCGGGATCTGGCGGCGATGATCTCCGGCGATGCGTCTTCTGGACTGATCGCTTCGCTGCCTCTTTCTGTCGATGGCGGCCTATTGTCATGCCGTTCAAACGTCTTGAGTGGAGAAAGCGCGTGGGCTCTCCCGTTCTTTGAGTAGTCTTTAGGTTTGACGTTCTCTGAGTGAGCCTTGCCTTTCCAGATGCAGATATTAGGTATTTTGAAACCCCTCCAAGAGGTCCGGTGCCTGTTAGTGGAGAGCCGAGAAAACCCAGTAACCAAATCTCGAAAAGTCCCCCTCCCAAGCCCACTACAACTCCTCCCTAGGTCTATCCAAACACTGCGCCAGATCAACCCCATAGCCCCCCGGCAGCCACGTCGGCCTCCTCATAATCGCCAACGCACTAGGACTCTGAAAGCCCACCCGCGGCTCGGAGCACTGCATGAGAATGCCCCAAAATCGCTCGACCGTGAATCCAAAGACCGGATCATTCACCGAGTCATGCTGGGCGCTATGCCAGACCCCACCGACATACTCCGGAGCATGCATAGCATTCCCTGGATCCGTCAGGTTCTGGATGAGTTGCTCATAGATGCCTTTTCCGTTCGCGCGGAGCCGCGGGCCGGAGACGATGAATTGGCCGCGGAAGGTCCAGACGAGATTTCGACATTGTCTGGTCGGGTTCGACAGGCTGAAGAGGGTGGAGATGACGTTTGGATCGTCGGTCCAGGAGCCGCAGTGCGCGCAATTGGCGCACATGCGCCCTTCATAGGAGAGGTGCAAAAAGCCCGTTTCGGGGACGAAGAATTTCTCGATCCAGGGGACGACTTCGGAGAAGCCGTCGAGCTCAGCTTGGGCGAAGAGGGTGTGGTGCGCGAGGTTGTCCCAGTTCTGTAGGGTGTGGCGGAGGTAGGCGTCGGCTTCGCGACCGACGTTCTCGAGGGCGTGGCAGGAGACGTTCACGTTGCTGGTCAGGTGGGTGAGGAGGTCTCGTTCGAAATCGGCGGTGTCGGTGTTTTTGTTGTAGATAAGTACGCGGCGGGTTGGTAATGTGCGGATGCTCTCTGCGGCGAGGAGAGTATCTAGTGTTCGGGCGACTTCAGCTGCGGGCTCGGCGTAGCGGGAAATGACGATATCCAAGTCGGAGGCTGGGAAGGGTGCTGGGTCTAAAGGGAGATTTGTGTATTCCAACGGAATGGGAGCGGCAACCAAAGGTTGGAGCAGAGCGTATATCCATGCTCCTCCGACCAAGATCAGAAACGCCAGTGTGCATGCACCTGTTGTCACTCCTTGGCCGCGGAAGACTTGGTTGATGGTTTTGGCTAGCCCGTGAAGTCCCTGTTTGGTCTCTTCCCAGGTCAAGAATGCCAACGCCGCCACGATATATCCAAGGTATTGCCAGTATGATATGTTGAGTGGTTGAGTGATTGACAAAGAGTCCGACACAATGACGAACCCTGCGACGGCGAGACGAAGCAGAGCTCCTTCGAAACGTGGGCTATAATCTTCGTCTTCAAACGATGACTCCTGTCGATTCTCCAGGTCCTGAAAGGAGGAAGCCAGAGCAAAGAGGGTGCCTGTGACCACAACGCCGCTCACGGCCGTGATTATGGCTATCGTCGAGACGGGAGATCTGTCAGGATGGATGCGTTCCGGCTCCAGATAGAAGGAGGTTACGACGGCCACCAGTGAAATCAACACCCAGTATTTCGGCAAAGCCGGGTACCTTTCCTCTGCAGGTTTGATAAATGGCCTGCTAAGGTTGACCATCCAGTGCAATGCCAGCTGCGCCAAGCCAGTGAATGCGAAAACTTCCATTGCCATCAACCATGGTACGAACCTCAACCGGAAGTTGCATACACATATGAAGTAGAGGCCCGCCGCGAAGATGAGATATCTAGCGACATCGCTCGCCTTTAATTTCCATTCCAAGAGTTTTCCAAAGAGGTCAGCCAGTCGCCAATCCAAGGTGAAGATCAGGATCACATTCGACAAGTCGTTGGCATGTGTAAGCGTCTTGTATGCCACGATCAGAATCGGCGCCATAAGAATGCTGAGGAGCAGGGATGAGATGTCGATGGACGGCCATGTCTTGCTAGGTTCCAGAGGTAGGTAGATGGGCGAATTATACCAATTCACCGCGTAGAGGATGAGTGTGATGATTGATGCCACGACGAGATGTGCGAGCAGAAGGTGCCTAGGAAAAGGAAGCTCTCCGGTCCCTTGCACTAACAGCGATGTGCTGACAACGCTCGCCGTAATCCAAGATGCCCAGACCAAGCGCGTGTCAAGATACTGGCGGAGGAGATCCATCTTACTTTCACCAGAATAAATGACCGCATCAACCACAGGGTCGTCTTGGTAATGTTTCCGGGATCAATGCGCGTTCGCGCGGTGATCTCAAAGGAGACGTGGATTGTACATTGCGATCCATCAATCACGAGAATCTTACGCCGTTTTCCATTCGTTGGAAGCCTGAAGCCGTGCGCGATCTGCATGGCAGCAACCTTAACGGAAAGGGGCTGCTTATTTGCGGCGCAGCAACGAGAAGGACATTTCTTAATGATTTCGCTTTATTTTTGTAGCAAGCTGTGCGATCCTAACACCAGACAGTCCATGGGAGATCGAGGCAAAAGTATTGAGTCCCGTACAGGGTCCTAAAATGATAGAAGACGACATGGCGCCATCCCGCACCAGTAGCCGCGACCGCGCCTGTCCGCACGCCTCTAGATTTCACCTGCAGTGCAAGAGAGCAACAAACGCCACCGTGACAATCGAAACTTGCAATCTACAATACATACGCGATTGAATCCGGGAACGATGCACGATTTTGCGTTGGAAGAGACTGCGATAGCATAACAAACACAAGGGTATACCATTCTCTGTGGCAGCGTAGAGGATAATTGTCGCGTTTCAAACAGGGTCCTGTCTCATGGCCGCTATGCGATCAAGTGCTGGAATGATGACTGTATGCACTGATCAGCATACGATTCTTGTGATGCCCACCGGCGCTTCCGGAGACGGTCAGCAGCAGCAGCAGCACTGATACCGACGTGTCAGGTCTCATGATTGGAGGGGAGATTTCCGTGACTTTTGATCTCGACTGTACCCAAACCCTAGTGATATAACCCAAACCCTAAGTCGTCATCGCCCGCGAGTTGACATGGCCAGCATCGGTCAACATTCACACCCATTCACTCAAGTGCGCATGGGACTCCCAAACTAGAATGATCCAACATGCTCAGATATATGTGCTGATATGGCACAGTCATTGTAGTACCTGGAAGCTGTCTCCTATTCTGAACACAGAGAACACGTGCTTACCTTTGGGTCGGTCATGGATGGATGGGAAGTAGACTGCATGCCCAGGTGGTGTTCAGAGCTACACAGACGTCACACCCTTGCCGACCTTCCGAGACATGCACAGCATCGTCGAAACATCCAGCGTGGATATAGAAGCACCCGGCGATCCCATGCGGAGTATTAGCCATTTGCAGAGGTCGAACCAAAGAAACAAGCTTTTGATCAAGCAAACGCCCCCGAAGCAAACAAGCCTTCCGAGATCCATCTGCATGATCGGAGATACCCAGTTGAATACAATGTTTCAGGAACATCCATGCAGAAAGAGCGTCCCGGTGATGATAACACATCACACGGAGACCGCACCTCATTCGCAACAAGTCCCAACCTCAGCCCCGACGCTTCTTTAGTTTCGAGCGTACTGTGTAGATAGTATAGTGCCCTTACAGCCATGAAACCACACACGCAGCCGACAAGCATGCACGTGGGGTCGGAATTTCCGTAGCGGTTTGATCGACAACACGCCCGCCCGGACGGGGATCTCCCGAAAAGGGCAAATCTTCTATTTCGACCAATCGTGCCTGTGGGAGAACGATGCGCTGCTACGCTTCTTCATAGGTCATGGTGTTATACCCTGCGACCTCTTTTGGGCTGAACGAGACCGTCTTGCGCTGGTCTTCCGCCTCGCCGCGCGTCATCTCTTCCGTTCCATCGCTGTCGCCGTTACTATGACGACTTCGAAGTTTCGCGGACCCACGTTGATCGATGCTGATGGCGCGGACGTCAGATGGCGCTGACCTTACGGCGATCCTGGCGGCGTCGCCGTGATAGGATGGGTCAGCGATGTTAGAGTTACCTTCTGACGATCCCACGGGGTTGGCCGTGAGAGTACGCGATGGGATCTTTTATATATAGAGGTTGTGAATGTCCCTCCTGGTCAATGTGTAAGGACCACCACTCAAGCACTTCTACAACCATCTAGGCTCTAAGCAAGACTATTCACAATGGCCTTCACCTCTCTCATCGCGGCCTCGACCCTGTTCGCCGCCGCTGTCGTCGCTGATTCGCCCTCGTGCTCTTCAAACTCGCCTGTCTCCTGCTCTAGCAACAACATCCAGAGCACCTGCTGCACCGAGACGCAAGGCCAAGTCGTTTCAGTCCAGCTGTGGGACACCAACCCTGCCACCGGCCCTGCGGACCACTGGACCATCCACGGCCTCTGGCCAGGTACGTCTCCTCACGAAAACATCAAAACTATATGCCTTCCGCGAGGATAGAATCCCTGACGTTCGGTACTTCAACAAAATAGATGCCTGTGATGGCTCATACTCGCAATTCTGCGACTCCAGCCGCCAGACCAACAACATTGCCTGCATCATCTCCCAGTCCGGCGACAACGACCTTCTCAACGACATGAACACCTACTGGCTGGACCAGAAGGGAGACAACGAGAACTTCTGGGACCACGAATGGAACAAGCACGGTAAGAAAAGCCCTTGCTCCGTCCACCAGCGACCAGGCCGCCGAACGCGAGAGGCAAGATCATGACTGACGCTCCATCTCTCTCTCCAGGAACTTGCTACTCCACTCTCAACCCCTCCTGCTTCCCCAACTACTCCCAACAAGAAGACGTTGTGGCCTTCTTCCGCCAAGCCGTGAACCAATTCAAGTCGATCGACACCTACAGCGTACGTCTACGACCTTCCCTCTCCCCTGCATTCCTCCTCCCCTGCTAACCTGTCGCAAACCAAACAGATCCTCTCCTCCGCCGGCATAACCCCCTCCAGCAGCCAAACCTACTCCCAATCCGACATCATCAGCGCGCTCTCGTCCGCGCGGGACGGCTACGCCCCGGTGCTGTCCTGCTCCAAGGGCGCCCTCTACCAGGTCGCCTATACCTTCAACGTCCAGGGCAGCGTGGCCGACGGGCAGTTCTTCCCCGCGGACCCCAACGGCGAGAATGGGAACTGCCCGGATCAGATTCGTTATTTGCCGAAGCAGCTTGGGACGGAACCCCAGGCTACTAGCGGATACTGTTAGATGGTGTTGCTGTTCTTGATGGTGGTGGTGGGCTTGTGAGGAGGGAGTGTGAGTGGATGAGGCGGTCTTTGTTTGATATTAGAGGATGTGGATGCTGTTATCATGGATAGAGGATATACGACTACGCTATGCAGAGATCATAAGGGGGGAATTTCCCCGTTTTCAAACCAGCCTGCACAAACAAAACGCTTCCCCTGCCGACCTTTTCTTGCGACTTACCAGACACATACATGTTTCCCAGAGAGCAGTGAGGGACAAGGACATCGTTGCATGTATAGCCCCATGCAACACCCAGGAGAAACGAAAATTCATCATCGGAAGAGGAGCAGAGGAAAGAAGTGATCACTTGATATCGCAATATCTCGCTAAAACCAACCGGCCAAACGTTAAAGCACAACACCACCTCCCAGGTTTGAGGACAACAATGAATAAAGACAACCAATTCCAAACTCTCGCGGTTGTATCTGTGATTTCCCCCCCGAAACACCCTCCTCGGAGGAAGAAGGAAAGAGGGTGGCAAAAAGTAATTTGCTTTCCTCTCATTCCCTCACTCCCTGCCCGCCTGTATGTAAATAAAAAAGTTTTCCCCATCATGTCAAATCCCATTGGTCGTCGTCGTATTTCCCTTTTCACTCTCTTTGTGTCGTTGATCATCGTCGCCTTGCGAGGGAAGTAAAGAAAGATGTATGTTTCCTCCTTCCTTCCTTCTCCTGCTGCCAAAAAACACCCCAGAATACGAAAATTCCGCTCTCCCCATTTGGAGAGAGCGCAGAAGAAATAAGATACGAAAAAAGCGCACCGGACCGGTGCGCAAAAATATCCCCACAACTCTCGTCGAAGAGAGAGAGAGGAAGAAGGACGCGTTCGCAATAATGATCCAAAAGGCAGAACGCGCCCTGTTTTGGTTGGTTGGGTAGGTTGGTGCTCCTGCCCAGCTCTCTCTTCTCTCCGACTTCAGAAAAATAAAACATTAGTGCGGTGATCGCCCTCCTCCTCCACCTCTTTGACGGAATAGTTTCGTCGTTCGTCGTTCCGTCGTTCATCGTCTCGCTTCGTTATTAGTAATGATTAACCGCTTTCCTTCCCTGCTCTTCGTCCATCCCACATGTCTTGTATATTGCCTGTCTCTCCCTCTATTCTCCCCTCGGTTTGTCTCTATCGAGAATCTCAGCAGGACATGTCAGCCAAGGCGTTCAACGCATGGTGACTGTGATGGACATGTCCCAGGGCCGAGGCGGCGGCGGCGGAGGCGTTGAATTTCGAGAGTTCCTGGAGGGCGTCTTCGTCGTCCATGAGGGAGAGGCCGATGCCGCTGTCGTCGATGTCGGCTTCTGGTTGTTGCTGTTGCGGTTGTTGTTTGGTGAGGATGGGTTGGGAGGCGAAGTGGAGGGTGGGGAATTGCTGCTGCTGCTGCTGTTGGGATTGTTGTTGTTGTTGTTGTTGGAGGGCAGCTTGGAATTGTTGTTGTTGTTGGTGGACGAAGTCGTGGTTTGCGTTTTGCTGCTGCTGTCGTTGCTGCTGCTGCTGTTGTAAGCGCGATGCTTGCTGCATTTGTTGTTGCTGTTGCTGTTGCTGTTGAAGCTGATGTTGATTTTGTGACGGATACTGTTGAAGCTGCTGCTGCTGTGTTTGCTGTGTCGATGACGTCGTGTCGGTCGTGAACGGGTTTCTTGCGCTTTGGTCGTGATCGGCACTCCCCAAGCGGCTACCAGTGTTGCTGCGCGTGCCGTTGTTCCCAGCATCCAGGGCGGGAGATTGGAACGCGCTGATAACGTTACCACCGCCGTTGACTACCGCGTTTGGGGCGCCGCTTCCAGAGGGTTCCAGGAATCCACCCATCTCCGCCATCCAGAGGGCCATCTCGTCCACAAAGATCTTCAGCACCCACCAATGGCCGTACGATAGACCGCTCATGATGGTAATGTCACGCAGTGCAGCGGTGCCCACTGCCGAGATGCAATGTAAAACCGTCCTCGCCGAGGCGTTGGGGAACCGGCCAGGAAGCGACATGAGGAAAGTGGACCATCGATCGAGGACGTTTTCGGTAGAGACCTGGGATGAGCCAGTCCGAGTTTGTGTGTTCTGAGTAGGGAGGAATGATCCGAAGACGTTCGTATCCTGGTCGAAGCTGTAAAGAGAGGCGTCGTCTTGCAAGGCTGGTGCTTGAAGGGGCTCGAGCAGGTTGCGCATCTCAGTGGTCATGATGCGGTGAACTTCTTCATAGCCGCAGTCAGGTAGCTCTGCTTCCATGACACGCTTGGGGTTGACCATGGTGGCCCACTCGTGCCACATTTGCTCGCGGTTTTGGTCGATCGTGAGCAAGTTGGCAGCGGCGTGCGCGGATTGATTGACCCTGATCAAACGGTAAAGAAGGCCAGCAAAAACCGTGGCGGGCTTGACCTTCGCCTCAATGACGTGTGTCGGGTGTGTCGCGAAGGTTTTGGCGATGTGGTCGTGCAAGCTGGCAGAGATGTTGGAGAGAGTGTTGATGACGCGTACAGGGGCGGCTTGTAAGGTCAATCGGCTGACGAAACGAATCATGGTGCGGTACATGACCAGATCGCACTGCTCGATCCATGGGGCAACATTGGGATGCGTGAAAAGCTTTTGAACCGGGACCGTCAAGGTGCCATGGAAAGACATGTACAAGCGGAAGAACTGTTTCTCCTTGCAGAATCTGATGCTGTCGATGAGAGATATGCAGTGAGTACGGTAGAGTGCGGAAAGAGCTTCGGCTGTGTCGATGTCGGTCCGAGGAGGAAGATATGGTTGAATAGATGGCAGGTCGACTGGGTCGTTCCCTTCGAAGGCAGGCATATTACTGGAGGGGAATCGCAGTGTACGTGAATATGTCGATGCCTCTGCAGTACCAGCCTGCATGCCGCGAGATTGCGGGTAAACGAAAGTTTTACTCTGCGAAGCCGGTCCGCGAGGAGTGGACGGAAAGAGTCCGGTGGTATCGAAGGAGGTATCGACTGCAGAAAACCCAGCATCTGCTTGTAACCGCGGAATGTTGTTGAAGTCGAGCTGATTGCTGTGGTTTGACATTGCGCTTTGTCGTCCGTCCATCGATTGGCCTAGATTTTGCCACGAAGATTGCAATGCCGTGATTTGCTCCTCACCCAATGCTAAATCAACATAATGGTATTTACTTTCACCACGGACACCCAATCGACGCGTTTGTATGCCTGGAAAGATGACGCGCACCAGCTTGCCGAATGATGCTGGGTTCAATGGGACAACGCGTTCGGTACCACATCGGTTCGCGTACTGGGAGTAGACGCGATTCCGAGGCACTGAAGTCTTTGCTGGCTTGCAGACGGCGCGGAGCCTACGATATGGTTAGTCGATGTGAAATATGTCTCCAACCTGCCCAATGATGCTTACCATAACATGGCAAAGAGCTGCTTCGTCTTCTCTGCCATTGGCGTTCGCTCCTTCTGAATGACCTCCTGTGCGACGTCCTTCAATGGACGTCCTTCGTTGCGGGAGAGCATCTCGCGCAATTCCTTGTCATTAGTCGCGGTGACGGCGGAGCCCTTTTTGCGCTTCTCCTCATGCAGATCCATGGCCATTGGGATCGGAGCCGAGCCCATGCGCATGTGAACGAATGCCATGTCTTGCTGTGACAGATCCGCCTGGCTGAGATCCTGCTGGAGAAATGATCCATCGTATGCCGACTGCTGCATCTGCAGCGGGTGTGGATGAGGCTGCGCGTGTGCCAGTGCCATTCTCTGACCCATGTTTTGCATGGGAGCCTGACTGTATTGCATCATGTGTGGAGCAGGCGCGATGCTGGCCTGGTACTGTAGTAGTGCAGCCTCGGGCCCTTGTGTTGTGAATGGCAGCTGGACGGGCTTGCTGTCTTGCGACAGCGACTGCAGCAGCGAGTCATCCTGCTGTGTAGTGACGCTGGTGGTCGAAGCCCTCGAGTCGGGTCGCTGACTGTGGTGAGCCGACATGCTGAGCATCAGATTAATTCCGCGATGGCGCGTAGCGTCGGACTGTGTCCTTGGTGTACTGGACTTTCCCGGCTGAAGCCTGTCAGCTGCCATGCGATGACGCGCACCTCAGATGGTATAGACGCCAATATGAGACATACGAGTGAGACTTGGTCTACCTATGAACCGCGGTGGTATATATTGAACGAGCATGCAGGAGTTCCCGGTGGTGATTGCTGATCGAATGCGCTCGAATGACGATGTCCAAGCGGTGATGGGTGGGAAAGGTGAGCCCGGGGCGCGATATGAGATTCGTATGACAGGCGCAGGATCCGAGTCGAACACTTCACGTCGAAGCGGACGTCGAGCGGTGATGTCGAAGTGGTGGAGAGGCGCCGGTGTGCTTATAGAGTGAGTGGTTTGCGGCGTGTTTACATTCGACGTCGAGCATAACAAAACTCAGCGGGCCGGGGGCAACGAGACTTGGCGGGCGGTTTTGCAGCAGCAGCTGTGACGGTGGGCGGACGGATGTCATTCTACTGCTCACGGGCTTTCTCCACGCGCGTGCAATCGTGTGGAGAGCAGGCAAAGAGACGCACCGTTTCATCACCTAATAATCCTCAACAGTCCTCCTACGGACAGAGGCTGCCCATGATTGCCATACAATGGTGAACATGACGAAGGAGTCTCCACATGGTTGTTTCCCGTCGACCAAGGAATTGTTCAGTACTGTGTATACAACTCCCATGCATCGCCGGCAACGTCCACGATCCTTTCGCAATATACTAATCTGGCGGTTTATGTCATGCTGCCCTCTCTGCAGGACGAACCTCTGGTTCTCCAACCCGCCGCTCCCATTCATGGAGGATCCTCGATGCTTGCTCAAATTACTGGGCTCGACTCTGGTGCAGTGTCCTGTCCTGTCCGTCCGTCCTGCTGCAGCGCGTGCGATGCTCACCGACTGATGACATGTAATTTACCACGCGACGCGTACATGCACGACAATTTTCTTCCAGTCCGGCTCATCAAAATGCACAACGTCTCCAGCGTCGGTCACGGACGGAGGTTTGATTACTTCTCGATGAATGCAGTTCTCGCGATGTACACCTCGATGCGAATAAATTTGACTGCCTGTGCTTTCAGTCGATCGAAGTGTCCGCCAATCGGTCGTGCTCTAGCTAGCGAGTTGGCAATGAAAAGCCCACAAATAATGTACTGTACCGTATGATGAATCTGTGCTTCGTTTGTGTGAGTGAGTCATCCAGGAATCTATTGGATGTTCACCATTCCGCTCATGTATGTATATCTGCAAGACCTGAAGCTGATACGCAGGTAGCAGGGAGTTTTAGAAATGGATCTTTGTTTTCTGAGTGTGAGGAGAACAGCCCGGAGCGCGATGCAGGCCACGCCCACGATGGACTTGGGCGCAATCATGATCGCAGATGGAAATCATACAATGCATCTCATCATCTCCCATGACGGGTCCGAATCGTCTGTCATACAGGAAACGTCGGCAGAAGAATGGATGTCGATTCATGGCGCCCCTCTAACGTGCCATTTCGCAACGGCATGCATATGTATTATTATTATTTATTATTATTTATCCTCGATGATACTGTATGACGGTGATGAGAGAGGGAGAGAGAAGCACGCGTGAGCGAGCGGGTAGAGCCGTCGTCGCGCCAGATCGACCACTGCACGGTTCTCGCCCACCAGCTGCAGTTCGCCATACATTTCATCATTGCCCAGGTGCCCGCCCAGAGACGTTCGCTGTGAAAATGAGCCGCGGATCTTCCGAATGGCGCCGACGATGATGATTAATCAGGCGGTCTAGTATTTTTAGTCTCCCAACATTTCGCACGTAACGACTCGCGCGCCAGCTTCTCACGGAGAATACAATCCGCACTATCATCCAACGCGACTGGAAAAATTCCCGAGTCGTGTGGTGGAGTGTAAAAGTCAACAGACACAGCAGGCAGCGGCGATGCCCCATTCATGCCACCAGTATCACGGTGGATAGAGGGATCTCATATGTATATTATCTTCGCGCTGGAGCGAGCGGAAGCCGACCCGGATTGGGCGCGTATCGTCATCCAGCCAGTAATAACTTGATGCCTGCCCACTTTGGTGTGTGGGCGCACACCCACCAAGCATTATATCATTATCATGTGCAAATGAAATTTGGGTGAGAGAGCTCTGGCGCAGCAGGAGCAGGAGCACCAGCACAGAACAGAACAGAACAGTACAGGCAAGCAACTTTCCAAGGTTCGTCGACTCCGCTGTCCCTGCTGCTTGCTGCTTGCTGCTGCTGCTGCTGGGTAGGCACAGTCCAGTCCAGTCCAGTACCGGTGCATCCATTCCCGGCCCCACCTTCATTGCGTCTTTTCGCACGCACAGAAACAATATGTACACACACACATACGAGAGAGAGTGAGAGAGGGAGAGAGAAAGGCAGAGGGAGAGGGAGAGGGAGGCTGGCTGCTGCTGCTGCTGCTGCTGTACCCTTGCTCAACTCTTCCGTCACTCGTCCCTCCTGCCCAGCTGTTCTCTCCACCACCCATTGTTCTTGTTCTGCCCAACACCTGCTTTTCCTCACTAGTTCCCTTTCTCGCGCCTATCTCTCTCCACCGCACACATACACCTTTTAGTCCCTTCCTCGCTCGTCATCATTTTTCGACTCCCACTCAATTCTTCTTTCTGTGTAGTATCGCCGTAGAAAATCAGGCTCAAGAGCTCCACTTCCTCTACCAACTCCATCTTCAGCAATCATGTCTGCCCAGGGAAACGCCTCGGGTTCCGTCCAGGAGCGGTGAGAATTCTCTTCAAGAGGCCTCCATTCCGGGAGCTGCCTAGCAAAAGACGGCGAAGAAAAGAGACCAGGAGAACTAATGATTGTTGACGATAGGGCCCAATACCACCTCTCTCAGCTCGACAAGTGAGTAGATCCTCCGACATGCGTCTGCTATGCGCTTCGAAACATGCGGAACGGCTGTGCTAACGATCAACTCACCCAGGGAGCTCTCCAAGTACCCTCAACTCAACCAGTTTGAGCAGCAGACCAGCGTCCCCAAGGTCTACGTCGTCCTCGGTCTCGCCGTCCTCTACTTCGCCCTCATCTTCTTCAACATCGCTGGTGAATTCCTCGTCAACGTTGCTGGATTCATCATCCCGGCCTTCTACTCTCTCGACGCTCTGTTCTCCACCACCAAGGCCGACGACACTCAATGGCTCACTGTATGTGACTACTCGGATTCTAGTTCATTCCATTCGATGACCGACATGACTGACATTGCCATGCCAATTTAGTACTGGGTTGTCTACGCTTTCCTGACCGTTCTTGAGTCCGCCGTCAACGCTGTCTACTGGTTCCCCTTCTACTACACCTTCAAGTTCATCCTTGTCCTGTGGATGTCTCTCCCCCAGACCAAGTAAGTCGATTTCCCAAGAAAGCTCCTCTATCTCTATTTGAGGCCCAATCGCTAACCGAGCCTCTTTTTCTAGCGGTGCCCAAGTCGTCTTCCACTCTCTCATCTCTCCTCTCTTCGCCCGCTTCTTCCAGCAGGATGCCTCTGCCAGCCTCCGCAACAAGGCCGAGAACCTCGCCAAGAGCCAGTAAATGGTGTCTACACCACCAACCAGGGGGAAAAGCCACAGAAGACACTCGACTCATGCCTTTAAAATGAAAAGATGATGACCGATGAGATAAACGATTCAGGACAAACCTTTTTTTGAACGGAACGAGATCACACGATCGAAAGGGAGATTGTTGGACCGCCACTTTTGGTGGGGATTCGCATTTTCCTCTGATATGACAATTTTTTCTTGTGTGTCTCTCTCTCACGATAATGATGCTCTACTTCAGAGCAGGGTATGAATGCGATGCAATCGGCTTGGTTGGATTAACACGATATGTGGAAGCTGGACACAAGGCACAGAACTAATTTCGTCTATAGATCCATAGGTCGCTGGATTAGATAGACGAAGCGCAGCTTGTGCGGGCTGAACATACATATCTGGAATTGACAACCATAGCCATAGCTAAGAAAGGGATATTTTCCCATTGTATCCGTGATTCACTAATACCTAGATTCGTCATCATCATCATCATTTTGCGCGAGAGCACCACCTTTGAAAAACCGACCCAATGCGACGCGGCGTGTCCGAAGAACCACAGTCACACATCATTATCCGTACAGCAGCTATCCAGCAGCGCGCGCCTCAAAATTGCCTTTGCAGTAGATGCACACCTCACCCACAAAAGGAAAACAGCCCACACATTCCTCCTCGCGCCGCTCAAGAGATGCAACCATCCATCTCCAAACAAACTACAGTTCAGTCCGGTCTTCTGACTTGTAAAGTAATCCCCGAGAAGATCTTCGACCACCTTTCACTGCTGCTGATGCCCTGCTCTGTACTTCCTCTGCCCTCTCTCGGGCTTTCTTTCCTTTCCGCTCCCACGGCACGCATGGAAAAGGACATTCAATCAATCAATCCCTCGTCCCACTTCGTACCGCTCTTCCTCTTCTTCTCCCAATACCGCCGCCGCTCCTCCTCCTCCTCCTCCCTTACCATTGATGCTCTGCTGTTGCCGATACTGCCATGATGTCAAAACAGCCTTCTTTCGTGTCGAAAACTCGATTCACATATGAATATCTCGTAGACCAGACAGGCAGACAGACAGAAAAGGGGGGAATGAATTGCGCCTCATCTACACGATGTACTGCAGGAGAACCCACCTACCCACCCACCCGTCCTACCGTGTTATCCGTGATGCGTAATGCGCAGAGTTGGCGAGTCTCTCGAGCTGCAAAATGCTACGTGGGGGATATCTCCCCTGCTATGCATATACATATATATATTATATGACAGACGATGGGTTTGGAATTCTCCTCGCTGTGATGGACTGCTGGATGGGTTGTCATCTTGTTGTTTCTACCTTTGACAATGGATCTCTCGTTTTGTGTGGTTGGTTGGTTGGAGAACGGGTGATAGGGTTGGTGTTGGTGTTGATGTTGGGGTTATTCCGTACTAGGCGATGTTTGAGATGACTTCAGACAGAGTATGTGTTGCGGGACAGCGATTACCTGGTTTGATTGGGGTTCATGAGGAGTGGTTAACATGGATGGTGGTATCACTTTGAGATCGCAGTCTTCATACGACAGTACTGGTGGAATTCTAGTTGTGGCTTGGGTAGCACAATATGACATGTTCTTCTGCAAGAACTCAAGCACCTTGTGATTTATGGATTGGTAGGATCCCGCTTTTCTCAATTGCTTCGGTCCCATCTCGATCGATCTCGATCGTTATGAACATTCATGTAACCATGGGAAAAACAAGACCAAATTTGCCAATGGGCCAAGACGTATGTAGTCTCAGATAAATCGCGACAATTCCAACACCCTCAGCCACCTCCTTTTCCCTAGCCAAGACGGTTCACGAACTCATCCACGTTCCCCAACTTCGCATCGCGCTGGTTGTCCCAACACAACCTCACCAGCGCCTTGAGATCCTCCCTGGCATACCCGCCCCTGGGACCCTCCTTCGCAATCAAAGCCGGGCCATCCTCGGCGAGGGCATAAAATCTCCCCGCGATCTCCAGATTCGCGTCCTGCTGCATCGCCGCCTTGAGGCTCTGTTGCAGCACGAGCACGTTCAGCTGCATGCGCGCACAGCCATGGTCGTCCATGGCGGAGATGCAGCCCACCAGACTCGTCAGGGCGCTGTTGGCCAGGATGTGCAGGTGGGCGGTCAGGAAGGCGTATTGCGTCGGGAGCAGGTGGGCGGTGATGACGGCGTCGTAGGTTCCCAGGGAGGTGGAGAGGTGCAGGATCGCGGGGTTGGGGTCGTTGTAGGGCTGCCCGAGGGCGTAGCTGGTGTCCATGGAGGCGTAGATGCCGTGGAGGAGGTGCAGGCGCAGGTCGATGTGCAGGGTGCGCAGGGTGGAGAGGCTGAGTTCAGTGAAGGACGTCACGACGCCGTCGAATTGCTTGGCGGTTTCGCTGTCTAACGGCAGGTAGGCGCCGTCGGGCGCGGAGCCCATGTTGAAGTTCTGCGTCCAGCGTCGCGTGTGGTGCGATTGGAGGTTGGAGGTGTCGATCGCGCGGGGGGAAATGTAGCGCAGCGATTGGCACTTGGTGGCAAGCCATTTCAGGCTGACTTGGAGGGTGCAGAGGGAGGAGAGGGTTTTGCGGTCGACGATGAGGTCGGCTTCGTCCAGGCGCCGGGTTTTGACGAGTTGGAGCAGCAAAGACGATTCTTTGTCAGCGAGGATGTTTCTGTAATCTGGGGTGGCGGCGCGGAGAACATCGACGACCACGGCGTTGATGGGATTCTCTTCTGATGATGTGATCTCTGCTGCAAGACGTAATTTGCCTTGATCTTCTGGCGCTAGCTGAGCACGTTGAAGAAGAGTCTTAGACCATTGATAGCACTTGTCGTAATAAGCACGCATTTGTGTGATGAGCAGCTGACTGAAGCTCTGATCATGTGGCAGTGCGTCGAGCATGACACAGAAGGCTTCGACGAGTTCATAGAATCGCGCTGTCCCGCTGAAGATTGGTTTTTGAGCGTAGAGATGCCATTGTGGGTCGGGCTGGAATGCGTCCATCTCGGTCATGCTTCGACTGCAAAGATCCAGGAGTGTCTCGTCGAGTTGCGGATAAAAGACATTCACAAGGAAGTCGTCCAGGAATGAGGTCAGGGTATTAGAGACCACGCCTGAGTTGGCGGGAACGACCTCTTTGAGACGCTTGAGGAAATCTAAAGACGGTCGCAACAGAATGCCCATGTTGAAGACGCTGGGCTCTACCAGCAGTTTGTGGCCTGTGGCAGACATGTCTGTGACAGCGCTACTTTCCTCCTTGACATGCAACTGGTTCGTACCCACGAGGCCAGGGACCGATGCCTTCAGGATGAACTCGAGGTCCTCTCGTTCTGTAGTCAGCTCTGCAGATTTGCTGTCAGTGTCCGACAGCTTGAAGATCTTGCGTGATCGATCACGTGGTTGAACCCGGAATATATTCGCGCTGGGGCCATTATCATGACGCGCTCGGTGACTGATATCGCCTTTTGTCGCCAGGTGATCGTGCAATAGAGACCGGATCTCGCTCTGTAGAAGCTTCCACAGTTCTCGAAAGCTTCGATTCAACGTAGCCGCGTCATCGTAGCCTTCCCTTCGGATGATCGCCGCAGTGACATCGTGAAGCACACGATGACCCTCGGCGATCGCTTCGTACTTGGCGAATAATGTGGAAAGCAGATCTTCCAGAGTTGCTTTCTTTTCATTGTCGGTCCCATCATGTACGCCGACCTTCTTCTGTTGGCTCCTACCAGCGGCTCGCATGATGGCTGGATGCCGTTGCTCGACCTCAACATGCGACCTTTCCACTACCTTGAACAGCTCTACCGGCAGACGATGCTCGATCGAGTTCACTGCGAACTCAAGCCTCGAGAGCTTGTTCAACGATTCCAAAATCAGCTGAATGTAGTAAAAAGTATCTGCCTCCGGATTCCGAGATGTGTCTTCTGCCATCGCTTTAGAGCCGTTGAAATTTTCCAAGAATATATGCATTGATTTCTCGCCGTCGCCAAGGCCTGGATTTGTGCTATCTCTTTTCATGTGAGCCTTCCATCGTTCCTCACAATAAGGACTTTTAAGGTATAAGTGGTTATGAAGCTCCTCAATCAGGATATCGGCAAGTGAATGCTCCTGGTTACTGAGGTAAACGCGGAGGTCACTCAGCGCACCAATCTCTTCCATCTCGGGCTTTCGAATGAGCTTCAATGCTTCAAGCAAGGTGTCCACAGCACCGATGAATCGTTTCTCGGAGATCTGAGCCTCCAACTTCTCAGGTACTTGCTGAAGCTGCTCGATGGTGCCCAGAACTTGTAACATCGTGTCATAGCCTTGGCTGGTCTGTGCGAATGCTCTGAGCTCAGGTTTCGCAGTGGACAAGCTGTTTTTTGCTTGTACCAAGCCTGCTCTGAGTGCACGCACTCGTAGTTGCGAGGCATGGATTGCTGCTTGGATTTTGTGAAAGGTACCGATACTGCTGTTGAAACCCTGATGGTGCTCGTTTACGATGACTTTCAGTGCATTCTTGAGCTGTTTATGCACTTCAAGAAATTGATCGTACTGGTCTGCTAGGCCGAGCGATGACGAGTCCATGAGCTGTAGCGCAACTTTCACTGGAATGCAATTATCCGAGGCCATGGAAGACCATTGTTGCTCGATAAATCGAAGCAGATCTGTTGAATGGTCAGCATTTCCTTCTCAGTCTCCACAAACCTAATCAGGCCTGATCCTAGCCCCCGGCAAGGAGCGACTCCAAATCATATCGCGAATTCGGCGGAACCCAGATGTCTTCTACAAGTTCGAAGCTCATGCCAAATTGGAAGAAGCGGCCGTGGAGGTGGTGCATGACTGGTTTGACGTATCTACCAGAGAGATTCTTTCTTACCTTCGACCTGCGCGCTCGCCGAGCCATATCTTGCATTCGATCTTGATCTGCTCCCGCTTTGATTTGAGCCCAAGTCCCTGCTCCTTCGCACTGCATGATTTCGCTCTGCTCTTCCACCACCTTGTCCCCGATCACCACCATGGGATACACCCAGACCATTATAGCCCTCGGGCCCTCGAGAACGACTTCGGCTGTCGGCGCTTGTGTCTCGACTCGAATTGTAATCGAAGCGCGTTCCTAGCATGTTTTGATTGCCATTGACGTGGTTGGTGCCATCGGGCTGCTGTCGCATCCATGACATCGTTCAGGAGATTTTCGAAATGAATGTGATCATAAATCAAATTTGTCGCATTGTTGAAATCGCTTCGTCGTCATATCGCATCATTGGTCCATATTCTCCTTAAGGCCAGGCAACTTCGCTCTCAAAGATAAAGACGTCGTCGGATGAAGTTGGCGCATTCAATTCAAGGTGGACATCATCCAGCCATCGAGCTTGAGGCCGCATTCTGCAAAGCGCAAGCGACAAACTTGCGGCTCTGCGGGAAGAACGGCCGGAGTGCATCACTGGCGCCCGCATTGCTCACTCTAGCCATGCGCCAAATTCCCTTGTTCTTGTGTTCAGTCGCGCGTTGCATCACGACAAACTCTTGAAAGCATCACCGCAGCCTCTCATCAATTCATCTACACCAGAACACGTCGCGCTTCGATATCGCAAAGAATGACTTCGCGATAGCTTCATTGCTCATCGTGTACCTACGACGCACAAACATCGAAAGCGCCATTTTCCTGCTTTAACTACTCCCGCTAATCCTCTCGTTGTCGACAAAATGGCTGCGGTCACAAACGGCCACAGCAATGGCATCAATGGAGCATCCGATCACTCCAAATATGAGCGCTTCTCACATGTCCCGGCTGCTATCGATATTCCCGTGAGAGGCGAGGAGGCTGATGAAGCCGTCAATTTGGATCTGGGAGAATTGTTGGATGAGACGGATGAGCTTTGCGATCTCCTCGAGAACGAGAATGCCGCGTGCAATTATTGGATCACAATCGCGCTGGCGTACGCCAAGCAGGACAAGGCAGGCATCGCAATCGATTTCTTGCAAAAGGCTTTGCAAGCGCATGCACGAGGACGACCCGAGGACCGATTGAGCATTCTAGCTTGTCTATGCTGGTTGAACCTCTGGATGTGTCGTCGAGCACCGCGTGTCAAGCCTGTAAACGCGACAGATGATTGCAAGACAAAGGATGTCTTCTTGCAGGCAGCAACGAGCGCACTTAACGAGGCCTCGAGGATTAATCCAGCATACCCTCCGCTTTATTTAGCACGAGGCACATTGCACCTTCTGCGTGCTTCACTTCAACCTTCAAAAGCGGGATCAACATCACAAGAGAACTCGGATCGAACGGAGACTCTCAAACAGGCTGCGAAGTGCTTTGACGATGCCTACCGCTTGTCAAATCACAAGAATGTCATGGCTATTGTTGGAAAGGCCAAAACACAGTTTTCGATGGGCAAGATTGCAGAAGCATACGTTCTCTACCAGCAGGTGTTGGAGCGTGCACCGGACATGATCGACCCCGATCCCCGAATTGGTATCGGATGTTGCTTATGGCAGCTCGGCTTCAAGGAAAATGCAAGAGACGCTTGGGAACGGGCACTCGCGCTGAATGGTTCCTCTAAAATCGCCAACATACTACTCGGTCTCTACCACCTCGATGAGACGAGTCAGTACAGTTCGAAGGACCCGAAATTCGCTTCGGCTTATGGCAAGGCGATGACAACATACATTCAGACAGCTTTCAAGCTGGACGACATGTATGCGATCACATGTTCGACGTTTGGTGGGTACTTCGTCGGCCGGAAGAAGTGGGAGAATGTCGAGCGCCTTGCCCGCAGAGCCATCGAGACAACAGACATGAACGCAATTGCCAGTGATGGGTGGTATTTGCTCGCAAGGAAGGACCACTATGAAGGTAATCTGCAGAAGGCTCAAGATCACTACAACAAGGCCGATCAAGCACGGGGTGGAGACGAAAAAGGATTCTTACCAGCGAAGTTTGGCTCTGCCCAGTTGAGGACAATGATGCAAGACTTTGATGGAGCCAAGTTCAGGTTGGAAAAGATCATTGCAACACACAAGAGCGCGGAAGCAATGACCCTGTTGGGTATCCTATACGCCGAAGATGTCTTCAACAGCCAGGCCGCCGGATCGAAAGACGACAAAACCACGGAGCTCAAGAAAGCCATCGCATACCTCGAACAAGTCCGCATATCATGGAAAGACCCCAAGAAAAAAGTCACACCGGACTCAGCAGTGTTACTCAACCTTGCTAGGCTGTACGAGAGCGAACAGCCCGAGAAAGCGTTGCAGTGTCTTCAGGAGGTTGAAAAAATGGAGATGGACGAGATACCCGATGGGGACCTGCCGTTGGATCTCGAAGATGAAGCATCAAAGACAAGTGCGAAGCGTGGCATGCTGAGCCCACAGCTGTTGAACAATATTGCATGCTTTTTCTACCAAGCCGAAAAGCTGTCGCAGGCCCGCGAGTATTTCCAAGCAGCACTCAACTCTTCCGTGTCTATTCGAGAAAAGGATGAGACGATCGACACAGATGCTCTGGTGTCCACCATCAGCTTCAACCTGGCCCGTACTTACGAAGCTCAAGGCATCGAAGAGCAAGCAAAGGAGATTTACAATGGATTACTGGAAAGACATCCCGACTACATCGACGCCAAGACTCGCCTCGCCTACATCAGCCATCAAAATGACCCTGCTGCCGGCGCAGAAGCAATACAAAAGCTTTTGGAGTTCGACCCTGCCAATCTCGAAGCTCGCAGTCTCTACGGTTGGTATATCAACAAGCATAAAAAGCGGACACTTGCTCTAGACCAGGATCAGGAGCAAAAGCATTACAAGCACACTCTGCGCACGTATGACAAGCATGACATTTACTCTCTCACCGCGATGGGTAACGTGCACCTAACCATCGCACGAGAAATGCCCAAGGACACCGATCAACACAAGGATCGCCGGAGCAAGACTTACATGCGTGCAGTCGAGTTCTTCGACAAAGTCCTGACGCTTGACCCCAAGAACGCGTTCGCTGCGCAAGGTCTGGGTATCGCTGTTGTGGAAGAGAAGAAGGATCTCAGTGCCGCCGTACAGGTCTTTTCAAAAGTGCGAGAAAGTATCAAGGACGCTTCTGTACACATCAACCTTGGTCACGTGTTCTGTGACTTGAAACAATACTCCCGCTCCATCGAGAATTACGAGCTGGCGTTGGCCAAGTCCAAGAACAAAGATCCTCACATCATGGCCTGCCTTGGACGCGTGTGGCTCATGCGCGGCCGTGCCGAAAAGTCATCCGACGCGTTCCAGACCAGCTTGGACTACTCTCAACAAGCCTATGCCGCTTCGCCTGCCAACATTAACTTCAAATTCAACGTTGCTTTCGTTCAAAATCAGATCGCGCAACACATGATTGGCTTGCCCGAGTCTGCAAAATCACTGGCGGACGTCGAAGCTGCCAGTGCGGGCCTTGACAGTGCTATTGAAGCTTTTGCAGAGATCGCCAAGTCTCCTACGCCGCCTTACCCACGTCACGACATTGAGCAGCGAGCTAATATGGCCCGGAACACTATGAAACGTCAACTTGCCAGCGCTATCGAGAAGCAGACCGAATATGAACAAAAGAATGCTAGCAAGCTCGAGGAAGCTCGCAAGCGTCGAGAAGATGCCGCTCGTGCTCTGGAACAAGCGAAGCGTGAGGCTGCTGAGAAGGAGGAGGCTGCACGACGTAAAGTGCGAGAAGAGCGTGAGCGGATGATGGCCGAGGATCGTGAGTTGGCAGAACGACGCCTGGAAGAGGAAAAAATTCGTGAACAAGCGCAGTACACTACCGACGAAGAGACAGGCGAGCGGAAGAAGCGAGAGAAGAAGCCAAAGGAAAAGAAGGGTGGCAAGCGGAAGAAGAAGGGCGTTGAAGACTCCGATCTTGATGACCTCCCAGATGGCGAAGGGTCAGACGAGGACGTTGTCGCTAGTGGACGGAGTCGTTCCCGTCGGGACGACGATGTTGGGAGCGTCAGCGGTAGCGACGCGGAAACCCGTGAGAAGCCGCGCAAGAAGAAGAGAAAGCTCGAGCGCAAGAGCGCTGCATCGGCAGCCAAGAACTCCAAGTTCAAGTCCGCAGAAACCGTCATGGATTCGGACGAGGATGACGAGGACGGCGGCGATGATGGTATCAGAGCTCCCGCAGCTGCGACGGCCAATGCTTCGGACGATGCCGAGCCAGACCGCGACGGCGCTGAGGCGGGAGACGATACGATGGTCGACGTCGGTGGTGTTGACGACGAGGACGAGGACGATGGTGCGGTCGCTTCCTCTCGCGCAACGCAGAGGAGGGGCAAGACTGCTCGTGTGCTCGACGACGATGAGGACGAGTAGAGTGGTTTTGATGTCGAAATTACATCATCATCGGGTCGCGCTGCTTGACATGACCCCTCCTCTTCTGTCCTCTAGGTGTTTTGGTAAAAGCGTTCAGCGGAGTGTATTTTTGTATTTCTAGATCTGTGATCGTTTTCCGCAACCGTCCTCACGATCAAGTTTTCACCTTCGAGCATAGACCGATTTATTCAATGCTGAATCTTTACACAAACCCACCGGCCTTTTTCCCTGCCCACAGATCGACGTATCATGCTCCCTTGCAAACCCCGTCGAGCAACGATGATTGGACCCCAATTCTGCACGAATGTCTCAGAAATCCGTGTTTAATACGGCTCGACGTTTTATCGACGTAACGGTGCCGAAGCTCTTAGCGGATCTTCCGGGGTCAATGTTGTTGTCTCAGATGCGAATATGCAGTCTTCCACTGGTGTCCGGCATCGCAGACCAATGTGGGCAGGAAATTCATCCGCGGAATGCGAATCTCATTTCCGAGGGCAGACGCCGACCGCAAGATGTGCGAATTGGTGGCACATTGGCGGCATGGGGAGCGTTAGCCGGCGCGCCTCGCGATAGGATCTGTCAGACGGTTTGAAATTCAGAATGAAATATAAGAGTGGTGAATCTGAGGCGGAGTGGAAGGGCATTTGTCTAAGATTATCATCCACATGCGGGATCTTTCTGGAATAGAGCTCTGCAGCCATCATCGATACCATGGTCACTCAAAGGCTACAATTATGGGCCAAAAGGTATGCGACATATGCGTATCAATCTGACACATTCTATTCGCGTTGTCTCACTTCTTCTTGGTCGCTGACGAATGGCTCCACCTTGGTGAACGCCGTCGGGCTGATCTTATATGTCACGCCGAAATAATCCCGAATCATGAAGCAGTCTGCAACCACTTATTACTGAAGGTAGAATTGTTCTTCAGAATATATACCTAGGTAGCTTGCGAAGCTCCAATTCCCCAAACTTGAAAGCTTGACAAGCAATTCAGGCCCGCGGAGACGACATCGAGGCTGCTGCTAAGCTGAGGAAAACAACGTTTCCCCAATGGTTCGCAAGAACATCGTCGAAGAATAGCATCTCTGTTGGATTCGCCATACGTCTTGACACATCACAACGAAACACGAACTAGATCTCCACACAATGAGCCGCAATACGGCATCCTTGTCAGTAGCAGAGCTATGATGATAGTGCGGCAAATATGAGCAACTCTTCGCGAAGTATGCAAGCTGTTCTGAAACATGGACGGGTAAATGTTCACCCATCATGGAATCGATCATGTTAGCCTCGCCGGCCATGAGTCTTCGTCGCTGCGGCATGCCTCTGATGGCATGTACGAACAAGTAATGGCATGGAAAGTCGGGTGTTTCCGATTACGTGGTCAAGAAGCACCGTTGGGTAACCTCGTGCGTCCGATACATACCGACAAGAAGTTCATAAGCCTCCAGTCGAGCTCAGAAACCTTTGATGATCTCCACTGATGTGTTAGAGCTAAACGTGAGACACATGTCCTTGGCCGACATCAGCACGCGCGGCGACGAAAGCAATCCGGCGACTTCGGACATCACAGCTTCGACTCGAGCTTTCTCCTTCTTGGCTACAAGGCGTTGGATCGAATGATCGTAGTAAATCTGAATCAGATCGTCATTTGGCCGCCAAAAACCAGCGTCACGGTAGGTCCAAAGATAGATCACGGCGAATAGCTGGGGAGTATATGTAGGTACAAGGGGATCTCTTTTCTGTTTCCAGCTCCTCCAGCATTCACACATCTCTTCACGCTGCTCCAATCAGTGTGAACTGTCGTTGCGAAGATGTCGGGACGTTTTATCACTGGACTCTTCGGAGTCGCGTTGACGCTCAAAAGCGTCTCTGCCTTGCCTGAGCCGAAAAAAGTCAATGAAGATGTTGGAAAGGTGAGCTCAGCCAGGAAGAAACAAAGCACAGTCATTTTCGAGCCTCAACAGTCACTGATTCCCTTCGCAGCGTCAACTCTTTGGCTTCACCTTGCCTAAAATCCAGACTGTGACCCAGACAACACTTCATACCACTCTGCACTCGACGCCTCCAGCCGATCTCACGAGCTCGGGAGGCTTTGTCACCACAACAATGGACATTAGCGGTACTCACCTCACTGTCCTCCAAAAGGTGACCCCTACAAGTGCAGCGCCAATCCCGCCCATTGCAAGCCCGCTTTTGAACCCATTTGGTGGGGTCGTCACTACGACTGTGACGAAGGATGTCACGGCTTTCATGCCATTGCCGACGGCATCCGCCGTCTCGCTTTCAATCCCTCACAGCGCAGCAGTGACGAGCGACAGTGTCAACGTCTCGCCCGTGTCGCTCCTCGCCGGAGGGTTACCCGTCCCGACAGTGCCGTTGTTCTCGATAGTGCCCTTGGTCTCTCTGCCAGGACTCGGTGGCTCGCTGCTCGGCACAGTCCCTGTTCCAGCGGAAATCCCTGTGCCTCAAATCTCAAAGGCGCCTGAGATCGTTGAATCAATGCTCGGATCGGTTCCAATCCCGACTTTGCCGGGACCTAAAGTTCCACAGGTGGTGGAGTCGCTCGCCACCGCAATGCCGCCGCTTCCGTTCGTTCAGGTAACGAATGCGCCGGCGGTAGTCCAATCCGTTGTTAGCATTTTGCCGGTATCGGTGCCACAGGTGACAGGCGCACCTCATGTTGTCGAGTCGATCGTCAGCATTCTACCAGCGTCTCTTGCAGAAATATCAAAAGCCCCAGAAATTGTCCAACCGGTTGTGAGCGTTCTGCCAGTGCCACTTCCATTCCCAGAGATCACGAAGGTACCCGAGACCGTGGAATCTATCGTTGGTGGCCTCCCCTTTCCTGCGCCGCACTTTACACCAGCACCAGCACCAAAGGTCATTGGCACAATCTTGAGCGATCTGCCAATTCCCCTAGCTTCTAATGTTCCGATTCCTGTGCTGCCGATTCCTGAGGTGCCGATCCCCGACTTTTCAATTCCTAACATCGGAGGCGGTTTCTCGTTCCCGGGTTTCGAAACATATCAACCGAGCGTCGGAACATATCAGCCGGGCGCTGGAACTTATCAACCAGAGCCGACCGTGATCATTCCAGTTACCTACACTGTGCCGCAATCCCCGACAGTCACATTACAGCCACCATTGGTTAACTCGGACACGTTACTGCCACCAAAGACCGTTCCTACTGCGCCTACTAAGACTGGCATTCCGCCACCGCAGAGCAGTGTATCTTCTCCAACGGGGGCCGTCTCTCCTCCAATTTCCTCACCGACCTTGACAACGTCAGTTGTGGTGACTAACACGACACCACAGACTATCATCACCTCGGCTGCGCCTGGTACCACTACTGTGACAACTTCGACCAGCAGGGCCCAGGGAAAGCCTCCAGTACCGTACACTCCAGTGCCGATTGTCCCTCCTACTGCCACCAAACCGAAACCACAGCCGACATACGATGGTACTTGTCGCGCCTCAGGAAGCGTGTACGTGAATGGACAGACGGCTACTGGTCCCAAAGGTGGCAAATATACAATCTACTGCAACGAAGACAACTCACAGGGTGCATTCTTGACGGTTCCCGTCAAGAAGGGAGGCTTTCAAACGTGCTTCGACGCATGTGATACCGTCAATGGCTGTGAAGGCTTCACCTATTGGGGTACTGACAGTGGAAACTGTTACCTCAAGTCGGCCAAGGGTAGCTTCATACCTAGCTCGAATCCCGACATCATGTCTGCGTTCAAGGACGTTGCCACCTCGGGTCAACCAGACGTCAACTCTTATCAGCCTGCTCCAGTCAAGCCACCACCAAAGCAAAATACGCCAGGGTCTTGTGAAACGCTGGACAGCCCATTCGCCGATTATCAAGGAAAGAAGTGGGACGTCAAATGCGACACCGATTATCCCGGCAATGATATTGCCACGGTCGCGTGCGAGACATTCGAACACTGCTTCCGTGTGTGCACAGACTATCCGGGCTGTGTAGCGTTCTCGTACCTGCCCGGAATATGCTACCTTAAAGAGCGTGCCTTGCACCCAGTGTCGAAGCCCAATGTCGATGCTGCTGCCTTGGTTGACCCTCCCGCACACCCGACGACAACAGCCAAGGCGCCGCCGAAGGAGACGTCACCAGTCACTTCGACTGTCACTGAGGCGCCAGTATCGACGGATTCAATCATCACGACGCCACCGGCATCGGCAACAACTTATGCTTGCAATCCCGCACACAGCTACCCAGAAGGTCAGCAGTGTATTTCTACGAACGGCCATTTGACTCTAGTGATTCCAACTGCTACAACTTCGACTGCTACATCCATGTCGACCGGTTCGAAGATTGTTTGTGACCCAACCCACAGCTACCCCTACAATGTACAGTGTCTCTACCAGGATGGAGTATGGAGCCTTGTTCCTGCTCAGACGTCCCTTTCAACAATCACAGCTCCAGCCCCATCGTAAGTACATTGGTTTGAATATCTGGAAGAAATTCGATGTGACTGACCTCTCTTTCTAATTAGATTATTTAACCTATTGACCGGATTTTCTCAAGATCTGCCTCTTCCCACCGGGACTTCTTCAAGTCTGCCTATACCAACCGGTGCACACGTAAAAGACGTAGACCACTGTCGCCTCCCCCAAGGGTCTTCCAAGAGATTCATCGTCGTGACAAAGGTCGTTCATGGCGACCCCAAGTTTGACGGTCTCTACATCAGCTTTCCATCCCGAGGTAAGCTCACCATTCATTCGCAAACGCCTTTCATTTTCTAGCATGAGGAAAAAAAACTGACACGTTTCTCTCACATAGATATCTTCCAAGGTTTCAGTCCGCAGCTAACCTTCGACCCCCACCGCGCCGCGCCCGCAATTTCCCGCCTCACTGACGGCGCCGTGTCCTTCAAGCGCGAAGACGAATGCAGCTGGTCGGGCCTCGATGTGCGCCTCAGCGATAACGAAGACCACCACATCCACCACATCCTCGGCACCCTCCTCGACAAACTCTCCAACAACAAGAAATTCACTATCGGCGGCACTCTCTTCAGCGAAGGCTTCGCCTCCGGATCCCTCTTCTACGACGGTCCCATCCATGACATCACCTTTGAGAGTACTGATGCTCGCCCGATCACGATGCTCGCGTGTGAGAGCCCCGATGACTCCGGCCATGCGCAGTTGAAATTTGCCCCTGCCAAGAGTATTCTGGACCCCGTGGGTATGTTGGAGGGACTTGTCGAGGGTGAGGTGTGTGCCTCCGTCATTCTGGAGCCGAAGGCTTGTCCTCGTGGAGAAGGAGGTCTTTGTCCTTATGAGGAAGGACTTGTGATCTAGAGGAGGGGCTGCTTGTGAAGAGAGGCGATCTAAACGATTGAGAACATGTGGGGTTTCTCAACAAGCCCCTTCACGCTGTAACTTGCAAGGAGAGACAGTAAGAGAAGGTGTGAGACTGGATGGACGTGAGTCCTCGGGTCGAGTCCAAGGGTGATGATGTCGGTGTGCGGACACTCCCTGTGGAAGGGTGGACGTCTGATGAGTGATAATATGAGTCGTATATATATTATATTAATGATAATGATTTGGACCGGACTCTGCCTCTTCATCGATGTCTTCGACCGAATTTGTTAAGTCGTATGAAAGTCGTTGTCATCATCGTTGTCGTCGTCGGAACAGTGAAGAACTTCATATGCTTGACGTCCATCAACATTCCATCTTTACGGATTAGTCCTCCGTCTAACATCGTCCCCATACAATCCTATTCACTTCCTGATACTATACCCATATGCTATTCGACTCGCCATCTCGAGGCTCGGATTGAACATCTTGCGGAGGATCCAGGCCCGTCCGCCAACAGAATGAATTCTTTCTATGCTTACGCTCCGATAGTCACATGTGAAGGAAGGAAATACTACTATCGGTATTGTGCTTGCGCCACAAGTGATGATTCCGGAGGTAAAGCCGGTCGAAAAGACAATTAAACGGACATGAATTCATGCTCTTGGCTGGAATATTCTTCGCAGGCCGATCGTGATTCACAAATGAATGATGGGTCCTTTATCATCAGCTGGCGTTGAAAATCCACCTTTTGTGCTGTGCTGGTCGATCATTCGCGCGCGAGGCCCTGGGCGGGAATTGCGGACGGCACGTGGATGGTATGAGTCAGCACCCTTCGCGTCAAACTATTATTATCGATAGCACAAAAAAGTCCCAGCTGCCGATCGGCAAGTTTCGATCTTTTCTACCATTCTTGCGACAACAGCACAACCACACCCCAACCCCACCGATACTCCCCAAAATCCTCCTCGATCATGGCGAAAAGTGCACGCGCCAGCGGCATCAAAAAGAACAAGCAAGCCCTGAAGAAGCGAGTCTTTGGACCCGTTGAAATCGCCCGCAATGAACGCCTTTCCGCCAAACTGCTCGCTCTCGCCAAGCAGCCCAAACCCGAGCGCGAAGAGATGGATGTACAATTAGAATGTAGGGCGCCTGCAGAACTTAAAGAATGCATGCAACAAGATTTGAATACTGATGTTATCCTCGATTCTGCAGCAGAGAAGAAGAGCTCCAAAAAGTCCAAATCCGACATTGATCCGGCCTCGAATGCAGAAGGTGGGATGCCCAGTCTTTCTGCAAACTCTCCCCTCTCCTCCATGTTACTACGATCTCTGTCGCCTCATACTGCCATCGCGGGACAACAATTACAAACACCGCCGCCCACACCGCCAGACTCTCCCCGCCTTGAGGACATTGCTCACGAGCATTTCTATCTGGCCCTCGGCCTGTCCACCGATATTGACGGCTTCACAAACACCGGCGAACTCGATATTGGCGAACTTGATCTCGCCAGCGACTACGACAGCATCGATTGAAACTGGGATATTGAAATGGACTCAAAGACCACCGTATTTGCCATGACTTATGATACCTAGTTTACCCTAGCTAACTTCTTGTCTTTTTCGGTCCCGTTGCAAACAGACATCGAAGTCGACGACGATGACAACGACGAAGAAGAGGAAGAGACTGCTACCAAATCGCAACTTAGCAAACGCGAGATCAAACGTCGCCAGGTTGATCGTGCCGCCCGCGTCGAGAAAAAGCGCAAGCCGCGCAATCGCATCACCTTTTCGGCGCATCCGTTGAAGAAGAAGAAGAAGGGAGGCAAGCGATGAAGAATCGTAATGTTGGTCAATCGGGAAAACTTAGGATGTCGTGGGTGCTGGCATGAAACGGTCATCCTCTAAACCTATGAGAGTGGCGTCGCAACCTGCACATTTCACTCTCGGCCGCCTTGCTGCGCCCTAGCGGGGTTCATCTCCCGCAGTATTGCAAAGGTTGCTTCAAGCTTCCAAACAGCGCTGGCGGTATGATTTGTATCAGGCACAGGATCGGACAAAGAGTTCGTCGAAGGAAGAAACAATATGGAGGAAAACGACAACGATATCAGATCGCTCGGCTGAATTTCTGGACTACGCCGCGAGTCACGGGCGTGGAGATCATGATAGATGTATAGCTGCATGTATTCGGCAGGGGACTGTTGGCGGATGTGCCAGAGCGATTCCCATGCTGGCGCAGCTCGACGAGGACGGTATGCCATATGAGATCACGATCAAAACTCAGAACAAAACTTTCCAAACCTTTCACCAAGTCGTCCTCTTATATGATATCGGTGCTCCATGTCTGAAAGCAAGTCCATTGCGATCACCGCTGCAATCACTTGGAACGACCCAGGCGAAATTTCACACAAAGAAGTCGTTTTCTTCTATCATCTATAAAGCCACATATGTCTCTATGTACCCAGTAAAAAAGAAACTGCGGTTGCAGTAGAAGTAGATATAGCCATCATACCTTCCCCAAAAGATTTCCCAAAAATAATGTGCATCAGAAAAAGAGAATAACTGGTCATACATTCGTGGTTTCCCAGCTCTCCAAGGTCAATGATATCTCCCTGCGACCAATCTAAACGCATTCCGCTTTCAACACCCAAGAGAGTGAGGATCAAGCCTGCCGACTCGTCCTCCCATCCCACCCTCCGCGATTCAAATCACTATCCCTCCTCCTTATCCCTGCTGGCGTGCCGATCCCACCTGCAAGGCCAGGTGAATTAGCACCCCATCTCGTCACCGAACTGCCTCTCCTCATCCCAGCCGCACTCGCACCACCGAGGACCTGCGGCGGCGGCTTCACCGAACTCGACCGGCGACCCCGTCCGGCGGAGAGATCGCCTTTCGCTTGCGGGGAGAACAACCCATCGCTCCCCGCAGATGCAGACGGGTTCGTAGAGCCGACATCAGCCTTCGCCTGCATCCGCTTCAGCGCCTCGCGGTGGGAGTGGTTCCCGGCCCCCGAGCGCATCGCGCGATCGAGATGGTCTTGGCGGGAGCGCTCGGCGTCCTCGCGCGCGCGGGTTTCCGCCGCGACTTGCTGGCGGAGGGCATGCATGCGGGCGAGATGGGCGTCGGTAGATTGCGCGGCGGCGGCGGCCGGGGTTCCCGATGAGGTGGAATTGAGCCATTGCGTGCGGATCGAGGCTTGTTTGCTGGCGTCGAAGACGGGGCGGGTGGCGTGGGGCGGGGAGGTTAGGGGTTGGATAGTGGAGGGGGTTATTGGGGAGGTTGAGAGGAGGGATTGGGAGCTGCGGCGGGCGCGAGGGGTGGAGGAGGTGCCCTGGGGCGGTGGGCTCAGGGTGTTTTGTCGCAGGGCGAGGGAGGAGCTTGAGCGGGTGTAGTCGCCTGAGAGGGGACTGGCGGAGGTTTGACGCATGAGAGGCGTGGCGAGGGAGGAGGGCGGGCGGTAGCCGCCGGCTGGTGGTGGACTGATGGCGCCGCTGAGACGTCGTGGCATGCCCATGGCGGAAGGAGAGCGGTTTTCGTTGGCCAGGGCGGACTCGGGTCGGGATTGGATGATGAGGGCTCGTCTTTCGGCCAGAGTCATCTCTTCGGGAGATTGACTGCGGAACTCTCCCGGTTGCATGACCGTCGTGTGAGGACTTTGGCCTAGAGAAGAGAGAGATCGAGACGGCAGGAGGTTAAGATCGCTCGTTTGTGATGCGTGAGCAGAGGCGATTGGTAGAGTGGAGTTCGGCGCAGCGGTATCTGATACTGGCGTGGTCGACGAGCGCGTTAGACTTCCTGCTGCTGAAGAGGTGGACTGGATGCGTGATTCGCGAGCGATATCCGTTAGTGATGTAGTTCCAATGCGTGAACGTATTCTTTCGTTGCGAACATCTAGTAGGTTGGTCATTGGCTTTTTAGGCGAAGGTGATGCAGTCCCCATACTCTCGCGAGGTCTGATAGGAGAAGCCACTTCTAACTGTTGTGAAGACGACCTATTGAGCGCCAACGGAGGGACGTTCTGTCCAGCCATAGGAGAGTCGACAGGCACAGCTCGATCTGGCGAAATCATAGATGCCGAAGACATGACGCGCGGCTTTGTTTCTGGCGAAAGTAAGAGCTGGGTATCCTGAGTAGAAGCCATACTTTGTTGACGGGTGGGAGGTAATGACGAAGGCGTAGGATCGGAAGTGCTCTGTGTTGGCGACTGTGCAGCATCTGATACGGGACGCGAGGTGGCTTTGCTGCTGCTCCCATCCGAATTGCTCATCAAAGACGCTCGAGGTTGCGCAGCGACAAGCTCAATCTTGGGCGGAACCACCACAACTGGTTTGACCTTGGCGGCATTGTTTTCTTTCGCCCTTGCCCGGGCGGCAGCATCCTCTTTGTCGACTCGGACTGATTCTTCAGGGAAGGCCTCTGGAACATCGGTCTCAACGATAGGTTCTGCATCTCGTCCTGCTTCCTTTGCCCATTCATTAGTGCGATAGCTCAATGCAGCACGTGAGAATGATCCTGGGAGAGCATCGGCCGTCAACGTTGCAAATGATGTCGTTGCCTTGTCGGTTGTCTTCTCTTCCTTTTCTGCCGTCATGATCGAGCTGCCATCATCGTTCTTCACCTTCAAGCTGGACACGGGCCGCTTCTTGACCACCTCATCGTCATCATCCGCACCAGCCTCGAAGTTCTCACTGTGCTCATTTAGTGCAGCAGACAGCGCATCAGTCATGGAGAACCTTGAAGTCGGCATCGCTGGGCTGGGACAAGCCGTAGATGGCGGTCGCGAAAGCGCGCCAAAATCAGGCTCCTCCGCCATGGTGGCCGCTATCGAAGAAGCTCGATCATCGTCGTCGGAACCAATAGTGAACGCATCAGCATTGTCATTGTCATTTTCAGCAGCATCGCCCGCATGCGTTGATGCTGCTCTTTCGGAACCAGCAGTCTGGCTGGCAGTCGCCGAACGGTCTTGCGTAGTCGATGCGGGTTTAAGCCCTCGCAATCTCATCGAGGCCGTGGAAATGCGCTTAGAAATGCTTTTGGAAGACCAGACTGTTCTCGGCGACATTGGCGGTTCACTGGGGATGAGTTCCACAATCGATCTGCCGTCTGCAGACATAGGACGAAGGTCGGCCATGGGGTACGCTTCCTGGCTGGCAAACGTAGTGGTCCGGCTGAGCTCGTGGTCGCTGACGCGCTCGCCGACTTCTTTCTCCTTTACGCTGATGCCATTGGTTGTTTTTGGACTTCCGATGGACGAGCCGATCCCCGAGTCGTGGCTCTTGTCCCCATCTCCATCACCGTAGGCATTCTCCCAGACTTTGCGCTCCCGGCGATTCCGGTCCTCCAGGTTTCGTCCAAGCTCAGATTCCATGACGTCGCGGCTTTCTTCATCCTGCAAGCGTTCGGCGTCCTGTTTCTGTCGGTGGGCCTTGATAACCTTCCAGATCTGGAATTGAGTAAGCACACCCAAAACGGCCACGACGATGACACAAGCTTGTTCTGCTTGTATGTTGCGTGTGATTGGGTAGGTATCTGTGTCGAGTGGGAAAACATTCGGATTGAGATCTGCACATCGTCAGCGTTACGCAACAGTAATCCATGAATGGTCAATCTTACCCCAAATATACATCCAGAACTCTTTCAGACCGACACGACTCAAGCAGTCCACGCCCAGTATGAACGCAGACGATCCAGCAAAAGCGGTGCACACGATAATTCCATAGCTGCGCGTATAACGGCTCCAGTTGGTGATCCAGGCCACCACCGCAAAGACGAGCAGCAAGACAATCCGGCCGACTTTGTCAGCGATCAACCCGCCAGGAGCGAGACACAACAGCCACATGGCGAAGCAGAACCCTCCGAGGAAACATCCCGCACCCTCGGACATTTCCTTGAAAATGATCGCCACGCCACCTCCGATCAGACCCGGGATCACGCCGGCCACGAGGTAGGCGCCTTGGACTGCGTCCGTGATTGGAGGGTTCATGACGTAGATGATAAGGACCTCAATGGCCAAAGTCAAGAGGAGCGTGGTGCTGATGAAGATTTGAACGGCATTGTGTTTGATCCCGACGAAACATAAAGCTAGCCCTGCGATGATCAGTAGAACGCCTCCAATGGCCAAGGCTGGAGTCATCGGTGGCGCAATCGGTAAAGGATTTGCTGTGAGGGAAGATGTTCCATTTGTTGCATTGGTACCGTTGGTCGCTGTTGGTAGTATCGTCGACATTAGCGTATTCGTCGCAGCACTCGCAGTCTGATTGGAAATCGTTGAAGATGAGAAAGTCGTCGGGATAGCCGTTCCGCCAGATGAGGTTTGAGTTATGCTGGTAGAAGTCGATACAGCTCCAGAAGTGGCACCAGTAGGACCCGCAGTCGCTGCAGTCGTTGTCGGGCCATTCTGCAAAGTTTGTCGGGCTTCAAGGACATTGTCAAGATCAGGTGAGACGAACGAGAAAGCTGATGTGACGCCCAAGACGACGAGAAGAAAGACCCTCCGCAACATCTTGTCGATAATTCGAATAGTTTGCGAAACGAGGTCGTCAAATCGGCGGCGCGAAGGAAAGGAACGAGGCGTTCAGCGCATAGCAAGTGCTGAAAGCTCGAAATAGAGATTCTTGCCTCGTGAGAGAGAGGATACTGTAGGAAAAAAGAGTGAATAGGATTATTCCGGAAAAGACTGCGGCGGTGTTGCTGGGGGTTCGACAAGACACATCGGAGGTATGATCATCAGTAACACACGGTCAGCAAGTACATCACCAATGCAGCATCCCAATGTAGCTCCATCTGGTGACAGCAGCGATGGTGGTGATGGTACCCGAGCTCTCCCCAGACAACAATGAAAAAGAATGGATCTCGCGGAAGCAGGAATTAAGTCGCCATTGCATTCGACACCCAGGAAAAGAACGGAGGAGTGAGCTACAGACGTCAGAGCTGACAAGAAAAGCGCGAAAATGGTGTGGTACACGACAGCATCGACACACACCCGGCTAGGCATTCCTGCCTGCTCCGAGAAAGAACCACACGATGGGACCGCCGCATCGTTGGCTTAGAACGGGTGGGAACCAGTGCAATCGTGCGAACAGCCGCGTGGTAAATCGCTTTTTTGTTGGCCATGGAGGCCTGGCATCCAGTCGGATGCAAAGACGTTGATACATGACACTAGTGGAATGGGAGTGTGGCGTTCTGATCTTCCTTTTCGGCAGGGCTTAATATTTGCCGCAGTCTAGTCGCGCTGATGATCATTATTATCCCGGGAGCAATGAATTTCGTGCTGTGAGATGTACAAGGTTCCATGCAGCGTCGAGTGCGAGTCTGGTCGGACTGGGATCCGCCTGCAGCCGTGAAATGTCCATCAGCAGATCATCACATTGGCATTGTACGATGGACCGGTGTCACCCTGTGCTATGCATGCTTTTCCAACCACGTAAGATGTAGGTAAATGCCCGTAGTCATCGGAAAGACCCACATTTTGTCTGTCTCTATTTCGGGGATGTTGCCGACCACGCAGCCCACCCAACTAGGTCACGGTGTGAGAAGTGTTCATCTCTTGGTCATGCCACACTGATGAGCATGCGATGAGAGCCACATTTTATTGGCTTTTCGCTGTGATGAATGTATATCAGATGAGTCGCATCACGCCACTGTATGATGCGAACGATGAAAGCCGCGAAAGCCTCACACCAGCCCGGCAAGCATTCAGTCCTGACAAAGGAATCAAGCATGCGTTTCCAAGGCAGGAGGAAAACGGCGGACTCCCCAGTGGACATTTGTCTTGCAAGGAATTTCCTACGGCAAGCAAATCAGAGCCCGCAAGATGCTTCAGAGTGGGCACTAGACTTTGTCCTTGTCCGAAATTGCGAATGAATCATGGCACAGCCGTTTGAATCATGGTCCAGGGATAGAAAATGCTAAGTCCTTCCAAATCCATTGAATTCGTCCGCCTGCAGCCGGGTCGGTGGTGATGTTGGGAGAAGGGGGCGGGCTCTAGACTGTTTATGGACAATGGCGGGACGTCGGGAGTGATGGTGGATGGGCGGACGAGGCGGCGGCGCGTTCCGTGGAGGACAATGCGCGAACATCTGCAGACGGCGATAGTGAAATCAGATCAAATGCACTCAACAACGCCGCCGCACATCTGAAATGCATCTGGGCGGGTGAATGACATGCATGACACGTCTAGCTCACGATTGGCCTCCGACCAATATCAATTCATCGGTATCAGTCTCATCCTTGCCTCAATGCAATGTCCACTCAAGCTGGGGTTGTTCTTTCGTCCATCAACCAGCAAGAGAGGACATCTCACGGCAAAGTGTCCAAGCTTTCTTCCCTCCTCCGCCCGTCGTTTCGTCTTCGATAGATCTTCCGCGTTGTCTCACTCACTCCCAACGGTTGTCGTTCTCCGTTTCTCTGTGTCGGGAGCCCTCCGACGAACCCAACGACCGTTGATGGTTCCACCAGAGCAAGACGAATCCAGACGGAGGACAGGCGATCCACTCCTTTCGGTTTAGACATTCAATCTTCAATGAAAGCACAGGCGAGTTCAAATTGTGTAGTCGAGATCGAGCGCCCCGGGATACGAGGTTGGTACTTTCCTTGGACCGTCATAATCTGCCAGCCCGTGCGATCGTGCTCAGAACTATCCGGCGACTCATGACGCAATGACGATCAACGACGGTAATTGAGGAAGGTATAACCTCCATCATCATCGTCACCATCCTCAATCACCAGTACTGTGAAATCAACCCCGCACACTCCGCGGACTCTAAGTAAACCCACATAAAATCCCCCTCCCATCTTCCGTCCAGTGCGAGTCCCGACTCCCAATGAAAGTGAGAGCCATCCATCTAGACGGCAGCATTCCACACACCTCGTCTGGGTTGAAGAAGATATCCCTGCAGGAACTCCGGTTCGGCTTCCCACGCCGCGGCAGCAACGGGCCATCGCCTCCGGGGGATATTGAGCCACTATCGTGAATCTGCACGACGCAAACGTCCCGGGGTGTGCGTAGGGAGGGAGTACCGCGATCTTACGCCGTTGATTCTGAAAAGGGCTTATAGAGCAGGGCTAGACATGAGAAGACCGTTGGACAGGGTGAGACACATACCGCATCGGAGCGATGAGAGCGAGCGAGCGCGAGAGTGAGAGAGGAAGAAGAGAGAGACGAGAGCATCCGTCCGTACGGTCTCCAGTCTTCCTCATTACTCACAACAATAGTAATTCTAGCCAAGGTGTTCCTTTACTAAAAACGGGAGAAGCAAGTTTCCCACAGAGAGACTCGGAAACATCGGGAAACAGGTAAGGTTTTCTGTTCACTTCATGCCCACGGTCCCACTCACCACGACGGACATGACGACGAGGAGGGATTCGCACACGGTATTTCATAGCTGGAGAGCAGCAAAGTTGAAATCGCAACGGAAAGAAATCCTTGCCTCCTTTCCTCACCCTCCCACTTTCCCAATTTCCTCGCTCTCTATAGCTTCCTCATCTGGAAACCCCGAAAAAAACCCCCCAAAAATGGAAAGAAAATGAGGGAAAAAACAATCCACTCCTCATACCAAACACGGACTATCCACCGATCCGAAGCCCGCCGCGACGCCCCCTTCCTCGCTCTGATCGCCTTTGGTGCGGAGGAGATATCCAGCCTCGAAATTCTCCCTGAGGATCGGACGCGGCGGGGCGTCATCGCCGACCCTCCCACCATTCGTCGAAGCAGCAGCAGTAGTAGTAGTGGTAGGTCGCTCCCACAGACAGACCCCATAGATTCCCAGCTCGCAAATCACGCCTCCCGTCTGGACAGAAGAAGAGGGGCTGCCCTCCTCGGCAGTCGCGCCGAAGCGGAGGATCGCGTTGCGCTGGGCCGGCGGCTCGATCATCTCCATCAGGATGTAGGCCGGCCAGTGGGACTCCGGGAGGGAGTCCAGGAAAGCGGGGATGTTGCGGCGGTAGATGTTGTTGCCGCCGCCTTCGCGCTGGGGTTTGAGCACGTAGCGGGCCGCGGTCTCCGGATCCGTGGCGAGGGCGCGGGCGTCTTTCCCGGCGGGGGAGGTGCTGTCGAGGGGGTAGATCGGGGCGAAGGTGGAGAGGATGGACGAGGCGGTGCTTGGGTCCGAGAGGAAACGTGCGAGGTGTGGGGAGTGGGGCGTCGCGAGGACTTGTTGGACCTTTTTGGTGCCGGCGAGTTGGGTCAAGACGCTGGGACATTTGATTGCTGCGCTGCGTTCGAGGTGCAGACGGCCGGACCAGTGGGCTTCGGAGGTGTATTCGGACGGGGCGTAGCCTGCGCGGAAGTAGACGACGGTGACTTCGAAGTGGCGGGTCGGCATGGATGGAGGGGTGTAGATGAGTTTTCGGCCATCGTCTAGCTTCGTGTCTTGGAGGACGCGGTCGAAAGGTAAGCGGAATGTTCGGATGTTGTGGGTTTTGTTTAAATTATATTCGATGTGTCGCTGGTCGAAGACATTGCGTTCGGGATCCTGGACGAGGAAGATGACGCATGTGGGGAGTTGTTTGCTTGATGGCCCATATGCTTCATGTGCTTTGGCGAGGCCAAGGGCTAAGGATGGACTGGATGAATTGGCTGGCAGAGTCGAGCTGTTGACAATCGATGAGATTTCTTCAGGATACGCGTCAATGGAATTCAGAAATTGATGCAACTCGGAGACACGAGTAGAGAGACCACCGAAGGATGAGGCTATCGTGTTAAACTCTACTTGCTTGACGGAAGGCTGACTTGCGCCTGAAGACTTGTCGAGGTGGACCATGTAATCCGAACGGAATAGTCCTAAGTCGAGCGACTGATCACCTGTCGTCAATTCGAGTTGCAGATTAAAGGTGTGGGTTGAGACCAACTTGAGCGTAACCTTCCGATTTGACTGCTTGATGGACCTTCCACAGTCCCGCCATGAAATCATCGATTTGAGCCAGTCTGTAAGTCAATCAACCATTATTAGAATTTCCATTGCCGAAACGATGAAGTGTGATGATTGATCTTCATCCTGTAAGGACAATCATCGAACAGAAGACATACTCCTCAACAATTCCCGTCAACCATCCCTCATCACTCGCGATTCCCGAATACAGCTCATTGTACGCCTGGGCGACGGACTTGGCCTGGTCGAAACACACTTTTGGAAACAGACTCGGGAATAATGTGATCGGTGCAGTCGTGGCCAACAACCCGGCAGGATCCTGCGCTTTCAAAGCATCCGACGTCGGCGGCCGAACAGCGAGTCCATGGGCGATGGAGTAGTCCTTTGCATTGCTGAGGAGGTATTCTTCTTGTTGAGGGTTCAGGGAGGGAGGATAGGAGGGATAGAAGTCCGCCATTGGAGAGGCCACTCGAAGGATGGTGGGTTCGTCTTCCTAGGACAAGTTATGAGACCTTTTGAATCACAGCAGCCGAGTAGTCTAGATGTTTGTCTCTTCAGAAATGTCTCCGATGCAGGTATAGTCGGTCCTCTCTCTGTGCTCTGTAATCAAACGCCGTCCCGCGTGGATGGATTGTCAGCACAATGAAATAAACTACCCGATGTCGTAATTCTGGCTGTTGCCGGCCCGCCCACCATTATCGATAAGGATTTGTGCTGCCCCGCCATTGGAACAGACAGCAGCACCGATGATCAGACGGGATGAATTCGTTTTAATCCAAGACTTGCATCTTTCACCCATATCTATTCCACCTGGGCAGGGTGTGAATAGCCTCAGCGGTCCATTACTGGAGAGGTCTGTTTGAACATCACCTGCATGTACACCGGCCATATCGTTGATTGCCCAATGGGAGAAGCCGCACGCGTGGCAACTACACGCCCTGCACGAAGATCGTCAATGTGCTGCAACTTACATATATGCTTAGTATATACTGGACAATCTTTCTCCATCTGCCAATGATATCTCCTTTGTATGTCACTGGGAGTTGCTTTTCCTCTGGCGGAAGGATTTGAGGACCATGATGGTCCGCCGATACCTGTTGCTCTCGCTCTCCCTTCACAGTCATCACATATAATGTTATTAAGTCGATACTCGGTGGATACATCACAACAGAGATTGTACATGTGCCTACATATATATAAATACATAAATTGACTGTTATACAGTAACGATTCCAATTCAGATTTCCCAGTCCGTCCTCAGACCATCTCACATTTACCGTCCTCTCTCTGTCACTGTTGTTATTATTGTTTATAACAATCATCATGGCAAAAACAATCTCAGCGGCCTGGAATCGTCTGATCTCCTCCCCAGAACTCCAACGTTCCTCCCACACCGTCAGCGCCGTCGGCAACACTGTCTACGTCTTCGGCGGCGAACTCCAACCGCGCGAGCCACGCGACAACGACGTGCACAAAGTCACGCTGGGAGGGAACCCAGTGAAAGGTAGGTCCATCGCCTACCACTCCATCGACGAAAGAAAATTCCGCGACAAACGTGAAAAACCCCCTGACACCGACTCTTCCATCATGTAGACAGTCAGTCCCTCTCCGTCTCCACCATCCCAAACAACACCGAGACCTCGCCATCACCATCTCCGCGCGTCGGCACCGCCACGACGACCCTCCATGACAAAATCTACCTCTTCTCCGGCCGCGGCGGGCCCAGCATGGCCGCGATCGAGGAATCCGGCGCACTCTGGACTCTAGACACCACCGCCTCCTCATGGAGTCTTCTCCAACCTTCATCACCCTCATCACCATCAGAAGAAGGATATCCTTCCGCCCGGAGCTACCACACCCTCACCAGCGACCCGACCGCCTCCACGATCTACCTGCACGCCGGCTGTCCCGCGAGCGGCCGCCTCGGCGACCTCTGGTCGTTCAGCCTGGCCGACAAGTCCTGGAAGAAGCTCCGCGATGCACCGGGCCCCAGTCGCGGCGGGACATCGATCGCATATACCTCCTGCAAGATCTACCGGATGAACGGCTTCGACGGGAAAGAGGAGATCGGCGGGTCTCTGGACGTCTACGACATCGCGAGCGATACGTGGGAGACGAGGGAGTTCGTCGCGGACGGGACGCGGGGGCCCGGGGCGAGGAGCGTGGCGGGCCTGGTGGGCGTGGAGGTCCCGGGTAAGGGGAGCTGTTTGGTCACGCTGTTCGGCGAGAGCGATCCTAGCGCCGAGGGCCATCTGGGGGCGGGCAAGATGTTGGAGGATGTCTGGGTCTATGGGATCGAGGATGGGGAGTGGGCGAAGGTGGAGGCGAAGGAGAAGCCCAGAGGGAGAGGGTGGTTTGATGCTGAGGTCGTGAAGGTTGATGGGAGGGATGCGGTGGTGGTGGTGGGCGGGTTGGGAGAGGGCAATGAGAGGTTGGATGATCTGTGGGTTTTGACGTTTTGATCTCATTCATCAGGTGGTTGAAAGGTGGGAGAGAATGAGAGGTTTGTGATTGGTAGTGCGTGATTGATGATAGGCTGTGTGAGGGTGGTGATGAAGATGATGATGACTGTTTTCCGTCCGGATGATTATCAAAACGCGTTCCCAAGATCCTCTTCATCCTACAATGGCTCCCAGACGTTGTAATGCGGCTCTGGCCCTGGTGTGAAGGAAAGGCAGGGCAAGATCCGAGACACGAACACAACCTGCATATCTCCCAATCGGACGGACACGAGATGCGCCATGACAGGGGATCTCACAAGGCGGTCGCGGTCTCAGACGAAGAGAGGGGAAGAAAGGGAAAGGGGATCTCCAGATCCGCCGCGTTCGCGCGAGTCGAAATCTACAAGGACCAAGATGCAGAGTCCCCGTAACCAGTCCTTGAGCGTTGACGATGCGGTGAGGTGTCTGCAGCGGCCACAACTCCCTGTGGTTCCCTGCGATGGGAAAAGCAGGTGCTGTAGGAGGCTGAAAGTGGAGTGTCCGCGCAGGAGGTTTTCCACCATCCCAGCAACCTACCTTACCTGCATATATATATATATATCCTGTATGCGCAACAGCCCGCGTGTAATCACAGTCCATATTCGCAGTCAAATCACGGGGAATGCCTCCTGGTACAGATGTATACACGTAGAAACAACAGAAGAGCACGGTATCGATCTGTCCATCTTTCGTCTCCTCCATTCTCCGTCTGGAAAGAAAAGAAGAAGGAAAAAAAGGGAAAGTCGTGCGAGATCCAGACGAGATCATCCGGGACGATGCAGGTCTACTGTGATGGGTGTAAGGTGAGATCGTATTCCCGGGCTGGCCGTGGAGGAACATGCCCGGGTGTTGTATCTTGGTCGAGGGGAGCGGAGCGTCATGCAATGCACACACGCAAAACAGGTATATCTGTGACAATAAATAAAAGCCGGGACTTTGCCGATCATTCCGCCGGACAACGCACACGACGGCCGCAGCAGCACACGACAGCAGCACACGACAGCCTCTTCTTCCGGACAGCGACGACAGGCGGTATGCGCGCTCCGTTTCGGCTGCTGCGGTCTGCTCATCACATGGATATGACGCCGCCCGAGAAATCCCACCTTCCATAGGGTTATTGCGGTGTAGGTCCAACATCAACCGTGGGTCGCGACGAGGAAGTCAACAGATTCTCCTGCCCAAACACGTGAAGGTGCGGGCGCGCGTGCAAAAAACCTTGGGGGAAATCTGTGATGCGATGATCGATGAAGATCGGAAATTAGAGGCAGAGGAGGGAGAGAGGAGGATTCGCCAACAGGAGCAACTACGAATCACACTACACTACCTAGGTACTGTGGGCAGGACTGAATCCGCGCCATTCCGACGCCGTTCGGCCAACTTTTCCTTGACATCTGGTCTGCACAGCGTTGTGGTCGCGCTTATCATCATCATCATCATCATCATCGCTCAAATATCAAGGTTTTTTCTTTCTCACAGTCCCCGATCGGCGAGATTCGCCGATCTTCACGGCTCCTCGTACTACCATCGCACGACGGCGACGACGACGACGACGACGACGACGGGTAGCTACATTGTTTCTTGAGCGTAGTCATCCATGTACTTATGAGGTGTCCGTGATGCGGGTGTTTTCCGATCACGTTTCACTTCGCCGGGTCTTCTACGTGCTAGAAGCAACACTAGAAGAAAAGACGACGACGACGACGACGGGTAGCTACATTGTTTCTTGAGCGTAGTCATCCATGTACTTATGAGGTGTCCGTGATGCGGGTGTTTTCCGATCACGTTTCACTTCGCCGGGTCTTCTACGTGCTAGAAGCAACACTAGAAGAAAAATTAACCAACTACTGTACTCGTGTGTGTGTGTCTCTCTCTAGCGGGATGATTGACGGTGATCACCCTGATCATGGCATCATTCCCTTCTTTCATCCGCGGAACCCCGTTTCTGGGAGGGGTGTCTTACTCGAGGACGGCATCATCCCAGAGGCGGGAACGTCGTTGTCGGCAGAATTTTCAATGGGATCTTCGGGCGATCTACACTAGATGGACCACCCACCACATACACGCCTCGGAATGGAATGGAGCGGTAAGTCTCATATGTGCATGCAGGAGGAAGAGGGAGGGAGAGTGGGAGAGAGCGTCTCGCAGGGTTGGCGGATGTATGGTGGAAAAGCGGGAATTGGCTGCGGGTGGAATCATCATTAGTATGTGTGGTGGTCGGTGTCTGTGGACAGTAGAGACGATGGCGGATGGCCGGCCGCGTGTTCTGTATTATGATGGGACATGGGTTGTGGAAATAATAGAGTTGCGTATCAATCGTGCGTGCGGTGGTGGTGGTGGTAATGGTGGTGGTGATGTGTGATGTGTGATGTGATGATGGAATGCCTGCCGCGGTTCCGGTTTCTCTCTCAACCTTATCCTCACCTCAAAGTCTGCTCTCCAGGGCTCTCTCGCTCTCTCTCTCTACAGTAGTCTCTCCCATTCGGCGATAAGTGACTGTCGCCTCTCCCTCTAGAGCATTTCCTTTCATATAGATTCCCTTAATCAAAGTCTTGTTCTATCATCGTGATCAAGTTTTGCAAGCTTGCTGCCGCTTCCCGGGTTTTTCTTTGCGTGACCTTCCTTGTCTGGATTGTTGTGTTGACCTGGTTTGTCATTGGTCGTATTCCTCTAGACTATTTCCCTTCGCCTGCTATACGTTCGCCGAATCGACGGACGCCGAAGTTCTCGGAGACTTTGTTTCATTGAATATGACGAATTGATAAGATCTGTTGATCCCTGTAATCGACGGTCCGAGACTTTCGCATTTCATCACGTACAATCGAAGTGAAACCTCGAACCAAGATCATGAGTTCATCTCGAAGACACCATTGAACGCTTCGTTGCAAGAACATGAGAATCTCAGGAATACACAAGTCGTGAATCACACCAGCCTATTCGGCATCATAATAAGCCTTCACAATGGCTCAAGCTCAGATATATCCCAGCACATCGACGACCATGGACGATCCTCCAAGTTATATCGAGCGTCTGATCAATCGTGAAAATGATATCTTCCACCTCCCAATCTCAATGTTCGACAGGAGCCCATCGCCTCCACCCTACCACACCTCAACATCAACCTCCACCGCCTCCGAATCCTCCGAACTGACCGCCCAACCACCAACCTACGACTGCGACATCAACCTCATCTCCAACTTCCTCTTCAAACGCGAACTCGACACTCCCTCCTCCATCAGCTCGCTCCGCGACTGGCGCCGCGTCGAGGCCGAACTCCGCGGCACCGCCCTGCTCATGCGAACCTACTTCAAAGGCCGCGCGCAGCCGCTCCTCCGCACCTACACCCTGCAAGCCGCCGACGCCGGCATCGCAGCCGACTACACCGCGCGCTCGCACGTCCTCCGCGTGCGCGTTGAGGGCGAACAATTCCTGCTCGCGACCACGGACGCCGTGACGGTGGTGAACTGGGTGGAGAGGCTCCAGGCGGCCATCGCCATCAGTGCGGCGATCGACGAGCGGGAGGAGGTCTGTTTCCGGAGTGTGCCCGTCAACCGCAAGGCCGTGGAGCCCGGGTTCCGTGCGGAATTCAGGCGGAAAGTCCGCGAGGAGTGGGGCGTCAAGAAGGGCGAGAGGGAGTGGTTGAGGAGGCCGTTGCAGTGTCCTGAGGGACAGGAGGGGTTTTTGCTCCCTACTGAGAATGCCGCTGCTGCTCCTGAAGATCGTCGGGCGTCGACGTCGACTTCATCTTTGGCGTCCTCTTCGATGATCTCGCTCCCGAATCGCGCCGCGTCGATCACGACAACAACCCCATCGTCTCCACGCCCGCGAAGATCGAACGCCGCAGATCCGGAGGCCAACTCTTGCTCTTCTTCCTCGACAACGACGACAACCATGACTACAAGAACATCACCAGCTCCCTCGACCCGCCTCATAATGATCATCCAAACCAGCACCAGCACCCCAACAACCCGCTCCAGCTCCCTCAACCACACCCCCAACGCCTCCCAGATCCGCGTGCACCTCGCCTCCCCGACGCCCTACGTCCCACGAGCGCTGACCAACAAACCCCGCCTCGTCTCCCCAGAGCGCACCACCGCCACCTCCACCACCTCCTCGAACAACCACCTAACCTCACCCCCGGACGCCCAACTCTCCCCACCCGACCCTCCAACCCACCCGGAAGACGAGGCCCCCGACCCCCTCACAGCGACGACGACGACGACGGCGACGACGACGACAGACATGGCCTACATCCGCGGCTGCGCCCGCGTCCTGCGGTATACGTCGACCTGGCGACCGGGGTATTACGTCCGATACGGGAAGACGGTCACGATCGTGGAGCGGTTCACGGTGGCGGGGATCCTCAAGGGGAAGAACAGGGTGAATAAGGGAAGGGGGGTGGTGGTGGGAGGCGGAGGAGGGGGCCAGGGATGAAAACGAGGGATGGAAGGACGGAAGGGAAGAAAGGGATCAGCGTAGGATGACGGATCTGATCTGTCAGGACGAAGACTAGACGGCGGAGGAAGTGCTTTGTTTTGTTTTGTTTTGTTTTTGATGGATTTATGGGGTTTCTTTTCTTCTCGGTCGTTTTGATGGAATTTTATGAGTTTCGATGAGCGATGGGAGAGAAAAGAAGAGAGAGAGATAGAGAGAGAGAGAGAGAAAGAGAGAGAGCAAGAGAGAGAGCAAGAATTAATGCCTAATGAAGACTATCACGACCATGAGAGCGATGCCACTCGCGCTTTTTTTTCCTCTTCTCTTCATGCTGATGTGTTTTTCCGATCCTCCTCTGCAACACGGACAATCATCTCCCATCAAACGACCGACCAATCAATCATGCAACAAACGCGCGCAACAACGGCGCCAGTAAGTTTTCCACTCCCTCGGGAATCGCATCCAGCACCTGTAATTCCGCTTTGAAATTCAACATGAGCATTCGCTGCAGCTCCGTCCGCGGACAAGTTTGTTGCTGTTGCTGTTGTTGCTGCTGCTGCCGCCGCGGTCGCTGCTCGCCAGATCCCACACGCTCGTGGTGTGCACCGGAGCCTTCCCGAGAAATCTCTCGATCCAACATCCGTCTCGCCATCCCTCGGTCGCGAGCCGTCAACGCCAACAGTTCCTGCTCGGCGTGGACATGCCCAATCACATCTTGCAGGTGGATGCTGCGGAGCCCGAGCCATTGCATCCCCGGCACGGTGTGCTCCGCGTTCTCGTGGGCGAGGGCGAGCGAGCCGTGTTGGTAAGTGGAGAGGATCGACAGACCGTCGGGATCGAAGTCGACGAGGCCATAGACGGGAATCGCGAGGAAGCCGTTCCGCATTGAAGGGATGCCCATGAAGTTTAGCAGACGGCGTGTGCTGAGATCTGGGTAGCCTTTGCCCGTGAGCAGGATTCCCTGGGACGATGCGGAGCGCCAGAAGGGTGAGTTGAGCAGGGAGCGGAAGGTTGCTTCTTTTTCGATGACGAGGATCCACCGGGTGTGCGTCATGTCTACTGAGAAGAGGTCTTTCGGGTCGAAGATGAGGGTGCTTTCGTAGAGGGCGAGGGTCGTGATACTTCCGTCGCGTTTGTAAAATTTTGCTGCGCCTGCTATCAGACCTTTGGCTGCGGCAGTCACATTCAGTGAGGAGCGCGTCATGCCGAATGTCAGAGCGATATCATCGACGTAGCGGTCCACGATGTTTTGATTGCCGAACAAGGCAGGATCACGATAGTAGACGTCTCTGCGCTTTCAATCAGTCGTGAGCTCGGAGGCAAAAGAAGTCATATCTCGAAGGAACCTCTTTGACAAAACCACATCGTTTCGTAGGGCTTCGTGCATGATTTGAAGAATGCGTAGGACCACAGCTAATTGCCCATATCAGCAACTCGCTTTCATGTGTATTCAATCACAAGCTTAGTCAATACAGAATCTCCATGCTTCATCGGCGGTTTTGCCAGGAAAGCTCAATTTTTTCGTCGCGTGCGCTGCCACTGTCGTCGTCGTGATTTGTTGAAGATCACGAGCAAGAACAGTCGCTTGAGATCGCGGTCTCGTTCGGAGTGTGATGCTAATCTCGGATCTCTCATTGAGGAGGTCATCCACTATCTGTTCGAACATGGCTTCGACTTTGGCTATCGCCGTGGCACTAACAATACATTAATAGGACATCGAAAAGTCACACTTGTTCATTGTACTTTGGACCAAGCAAAGTCGTCGGCGAAATTGTATTTTGCACCATGTCATTTGCGCTGGCTTCCTCGACATCCATTCCAGGCTCGTGTTGAAGGCTATTGTCGCTGTCTGTTCGTACATTCGACGCCTCGTCTTCATCGAACCAGGTGGAATGCATCTCGCACTCTTGTAAGTTGCGGACTACTTTCAGACTTTCGATCGATGATCTTGGCAATATAGACGATCTTGTCGACAACCTATTTTATGTTGACCGCATCAACGTAGATGTTTCTGCAGCAAATGACGACGATGGAGGTGCGGGCACATCATAAACCTAACCAGGCTAGCGCACTTTAGCCGCGACGCGACGACGACGCGAAACACGGTCGTGCGTTTCAATTGAGGTACAACGTGCAACTGCCTGGATCAAGCCTCAACTGTAAATGTCAATTTGGCAATTTTCGAATACACCCGCCAGGTTTGACGTCGTCACATGAATTCTTCGAAGGAACAACATATCACGATGGACGAGATCGAATCTGCCCCTGCTACTCCCAACCCTCGCAAGCGTGCCGCCGATGGAGAACTTTCACCTGATCGAAAACCGCTGAACCTGAAGGGCACACAATTCATGATGCCGACGCCGCCGGTATCTGATGGCTCAAGTAATGCCAGTGCAGGATCGAGCGCCGCTCACGATGATCCCACACGTGCGGCTTCGCCAGCGCCGAGTTGTTCGACACTCACGAGCATGGATGGTCTCTCATCAACTCACGCTCCAGAAGAAACTGCGACCGGAGCAACGGCTACCACCACGACACGCGCTACAAGTTCGGGCGCGCCGCCTGCGAAACGTCGTAAGCTCACACCTTCGGAAAAGCTTGAGAAGCAGAGGTTGAAAGATCTCAAAGACAAGGAGAGGGCTGAAGAAAAGGCCAAGAAGGAGGAAGAGCGGGCTCGCAAAGATGAAGAGCGAGTGAGGAAAGACGAGGAGAAGCGCATGAAAGACTTGGAGAAGCAAAAGAAAGCCGAGGAGCGGGAAGCAAAAAAGCGCGAAAAGGACCTTGAGGAGGAACGACGAGCACAGGAGAAGCTTAAGAAGGAGCGTTCTCAGATGAGATTGGGAGCATTCTTCCAGTCCAAACCCGCTGCATCCAATTCTACCACAGACAACAACGATGCTCCGACAATATCTGCTAGGCGCAAATCTCTGTCTCTGGAGCCGTTTGATGCTATGGCAGACAAGATCCGACAATCGGTCTCACCAGCGAAGAGCACACCTTTCAGGGCGCGGCCAGTAGCAGACGCGAAATCACCCATGATCAAATCGACAACCACAATTTCTGACTACAGCAAGACTTTTCTCCCTTTCGTCTTACCATCATACAGTACACTAGCCATCACACATAAACAGCCCCTAGGAGAAGATTCTGCAGAGGTGAAAGATTTCGATCGCGATGTTGTCTACTTCTCGAAATCGGCTGCTGGTCAAGAAACGAGTTTGAGACGACATTTCCACGACGAAGCTCGGAGTCAACGTGGACTGCGTTTACCCAGTGTCAGAGCATTGGCCGAAATGATCGATCGGGACTCGTCACAAGTCGTTGATTTGACAAAGGACGCAGCCACAGTCAATCCGTATCACCTGTTACAAACCGTACCGATCAAACACATTCACTTTTGCGAGGATGTGCGACCTGCATATTGTGGGACATATACCAAAATTGAGAGCTCAAAGGTGTCGAGAGCGCCATTCAGTCGCGTTCGTCCAGATACTGATTACGACTACGATTCGGAATGCGAATGGGAAGAACCAGAGGAAGGAGATGATATTGTTTCGGAAGATGAAGACGACGCAGATAGCGACTGCGATGGTGACGAAATCGACGGCTTCTTAGACGACAGTGAGGATGCATTGAAGAACAAATCACGGATGATCACCGGAGATCTCGTGCCCGATAACACAGGACTATGTTGGCAGAATCCCAAGGGGCGGTTTGATGATCGAGAGCAAGAGAGCAAAATGCGTGGCATGAGGTTGGAGAATTTGTTGCCGGTCTTGTCAGGGAAACCCATAGATCCATTTTCGACCCAGTACTGGGAAGTTGAAGTTGCTGTGCCTTCGGTGGAGACACCAGCCATCACAGCTGGGCAGGCGACTCTCACTGGGGGTATGCTTGCTCCTCCTCGACCACCGCTACAACCTCGCGCCAGCGGAAACGCCGGCCTGGATCGTCCGCTTGTCGGAGCGGCGCAAGGAGAGAAAGGACCCATCACAAGTCTCGACTCCGGAGCGAATGCGAAACGTTCACGGAAGCCACAGCCGAAAACACTGAGCAAGGAGGATCTGGAGGAGTTCAAAGATGCTGTCGTGGGGAGCACACTGGGCAAGCTGGACTTGCTCAAAGGGTTGAAAACCAGGTGCGTTCTATCACTTACACAAGGGCCGAGGATCATTCGCCACGAGACTGACCAATTTCCCAGATTTCCCAAGATGACTCACGATGTGATCAAAGAAACCCTCGGACACTGCTTCGCACAAGTTGGCACGTCCAAGGCCGATAAGCGTTGGCTCTATGTTCCTACGCAGTGAGCGGACGAATTGAGCTTCCAACGATCGACTCCGACCCAACAACGGAATTCTCCTGTTGGGTGATATTCTGCGCCCTCGAGCGCGAAACATGAATTATGACATATTTGACAACATCATATCTTTTTGATGAATCATGCTAGCTTTTTTCCCGGCGGCTCCACATTCTTCTATCATCACCATACCATCAGATGCCAATTCAATAATGACATAATCTCCTCTACCTTTACAATTTATGACACAATAAGAAAAAACGGACTCGAAATGCGTACTTCATCTGTATACAAGACCTGCGACCAATGCCGAAAAATCCTCAAAATTCCCTCCCCCTATCTCTCATCATACAAACGACAAGCACATGTTTCCCACAAAAGAAATTCATCGCCCAATCAGCTCCCTCCATCCTAACAAATCCGCTGTCCCCTGATAACCAAAGCGGAGCGAAAAAGTCCGAGAAAGAAAAAAAGGGGGGGCATCTCACGACAAAAGCTGCTGCATCCTCTTCTTGTGCTTCCTCTCCGCCCGCTTGCTGTTGAACTCCTTGACCTGCTGCTTGGTCAATTTCTGCGCCTGCCGCTCCGCCTTGAGCGATCGTCCGTCGTGCGCGTTCGCCGCGGCGTCCACGTCGAAGAAGGCGTTCATCTGGCGCCCGCTTTTGGCCACGTCGCTGTGCCGTTCCGGCCCGAGGTCCGCGCCCGTCTGCGTGGCGCCGGTGAAGCGGTTGAGGATCATGGTCGAGGTATAGGGGTCGGCGGCGGCGGCGGCGGTTTGGTCGGGGGTGAGGCTGGCGTTCTGCTGTGCTGCGTCGAGGATGTTGGTGTACTCGGCTCCTGGGCCGGTCCGCCGGGTGTGGAATCTGGCGTAGGAGGCGTTGGGGTCGTAGTTGCCGTGGATTTTTGGGTTGTAGCCTTGGTAGTCGTCTAGTTGCCGTTGCGAGGCTGGTTTCCGAAGGAAAGGGAGAAGTGAGTTCGATGGTTGGCCTTCAATCTCCAGACTCGTTTGCTCACCTTGAGGTTTACCCGGGATCTGTAGGCCTGCTGCGGAATCTACAGCACCCGCTTGTGCGTCCCAGATCCAATACGGTTCCGCAGGTTCCGTCCATGATGATTCGCCGGTCTCGGTTTGTGTGTAGTAGAAATGTCCTGGACCGTACTGGGCTGGATCTGCTATGCACTTGTACCATTTGTATTTCTGTAGTTGCTCCTCCGACTTTGAATTCGTCAGTCTCGAGTGAAAGCGTTACGTTATGCTTCGAGGATTTCTGCTCAACGATGATCAAGTCGCTCTCCCAACATGCTGTGTCTCATGATGTGCCAGGGAATAGGGACGAATGAGCGCGATGGTGAGAGAGAACGAAGCCATCTCATGCCGCATGTTTAGTATCTACAGCAAAAATGGGAGAGAGAGCCGCACGTAGAGATCTCATAGTGGGCAGACGTCATCGTACGAGTACGATCGATGGAAGAAAGTTTTAAAATGCGCGAAGATGCCCAGTGTACATCTCGACTTTACTTACTGTCAAACCGCCAGTCGCGGGACCTTCATTCGCTGGTTGAGCTTCGTCTACTTCTCCCTCTTCCGCCACCTCTCCCTTACCATCTACTTCTCCCTGATCCTGGAGACGCGTGTTCATCAGCCAATGGTGGGATTAAATTATGGTTGTTGTTGTTGAAAAGAAGGTCACTCAGCGAGATGGCGGTGAGCCATTACTGTTTCCTCTGGCGGAGGGACACGAAAGACTTCAGATGCACGGTTGACGCGCTGCTGATGGACATCTTCAAGATGCCTGTTTCATGACGAGTTGTCAACTAACCTTGGCCGGCACTGTGGGCGCATCGGCGACGGACGCAATCTGCTCAGGCTTTTCTTCCAGAGGAGACTTGGTATGCTCCTGGATCTCATTCTGAGAGACTGCTATCTCCTCGGCCATTCTGAAGCGAATTGAATATGAATAGTGATGTGGTGGTGAGAATGTGGTAAGGAAGAAAAACAGATACACCTGGGCAGTATATAGGTGACTTCATGGGACGGAGGTCATGGCTTGCTGTATGGTGTTAGACCCAACCCTAACACTCCAGAGCTCCAGGGTCATCATCTGGGCCATTTTTGAATGCAATCGCCTGTCGACCTCTCCGCTCTCTGACACAAGACAAACCCCATGCAATATGAAATGACAGCTTCTAGTTCTGATCACAACATGATGTCCTCCAGAGGCTTTCACGCACGCGGTTTTATATCCTTCCGGCTTCCAGGGATTCTGGACATCTGGGGCTGGGTTTCGCTTGCCGCCGGCATATGCGCGTGTGCAATCAATTCGTCTCTGAGCACGTACTGAGCGCCGGGCGTGTATGTATAGTCCGCTGGTGTTGCCTGGAGGACTTCGGGTGCCCCTTCCGTATCTACGACTGTATGACAGGCACCTGCTGAGATGAGTGGTAAACAATATCTGCATGCAAGGTCGTGTATTCCATATGGTGTAGATTCTTATGCAAGGAAATCCGACTTCATAGGCGTTTGAATTGCCACTGTTGCAGTCTCGTGTGTGCGGACCACAGCCCGGGGTCGGTGACCTCACTTGAAGCTTTTTGCCCGCGAGCCGAGTTTACCACGATATGCACTACATAGAGATTGATCATACTGTAGCATCATTTCACACGGCACCACCTTTCCAAGTGACAGGCGCAATCCTCCGAAACCCTTCCACTTATTACCTATCCAAGAGGGAGGTGCACGACCATCCGCCTCAATATTGCATTTGGTCGTGCCTGCTCTGTTGCTCTCCACCGATTAAGCCAGCGCATACACGAGCCATACAACTTTCCGCCGCCGCGCTCTCCATTCCCAGCCCGCGCGATTATTTCGCCAGCAACCTTGGGCCACTCAACCATTCCGCTGCTGCTGAGCGTCCCTTGCTGCTGTATTCCGACTTTCGAACATCCGCGCACACCGGGCCACTGTGCGTAACTGGGAAAGAGTTGTGCCGAAATGTCCATCACAGAATAAGTGACGCCGCTTCACCAGCCTGAGCACCGCCGTGTCGCGTGATTAAGATGTTTGGACGAGTCACTGGCGCCTACGAAAACAGTTCACTGCACGACGATCCCACCGTACTGCACTCGACGACCCTCAATCCATCACGGCTGCTCTCTTCATAACCGCCATCGCCGTCGCCGTCGCTTGGCCGGTTAGTCTGCAAGCAATGGCTACGGCGAACCACCACCTACAACAGCAGCGACCCATTGTCGAGGCTCGGATACGAACCCTGGTTAACAACGATCTGAAAGAGATATGTAGAGCGCACAATTACCAGGTGTCGGGGAACAAGGCTCATTTGCAGGCGAGGTGTATCGAGAGTGAGTGATATCGGCGATTACATATAAGAGGAGGCTACGTCGTGGAAATGGATTATGAATGGGTGACGGGAGGAGGATGTATGCTGACAACGGCGTAGTCCTCCGGAAAATCATCAATGATAACAATCAGACCGCTTTCGACGCATTGAGCTATCAAATAAGCCATCACGGCCAGGAACCACCGCCCAGTTTCTCCCACGTCAAGACTGCAGACACAGGGTTCTCGAGCCCAACGACAGCTTCATACTCACACACTCATCACTCGCGGCCTCTACCAGCACAGGGACGATCGGCTCTGGGTCGACTGCCACCTCCGGGAAGACGTAAGACTTTGCGGATCGGATATGAGTGTGCGTGACGCTAAAGTTTGCTCTCCAGTTTTCAAACCAAGTCCATTCTATGAGATCATTGACAATGTGTTGCCATTCGACTATCTACCTGGTACGGAACCCTCGTTTGCATCTTGGATGGATCATTGAACTGACACGGCCTTCAAGAATATCCGCAAAACCGTAATACGGTCAATGCGACCTTGAGGTTGAAGGAAGATGCTGTGCGACGCCTCGCAGGTGACAGCACTTTGCGTCTACTGCTTTACTGTGGTATCGACACGAATCTCGCACCAAACTCGCCTCCCATTGATATCTCTTTCCCAAGCCAGATCGAGGTCAAAATCAACGGCGATGATGTTCGATCCAACTTCAAAGGTCTCAAAAATAAGCCGGGCTCCACCAAACCTGCCGATGTGACCGACAAAGTTCGTCGAAACACGGGATATGGTAATATGATTGCCATAACCTACGCCTTGACGACCAAACAATACATATTTGGCATACAGCTTGCACGGTATTGTAATGCAACGACTCTGACTGAACGCATCAAGCAAGGAAGATTTATTCCCAAACAGACCGTCCTCGATGAGATGAGCAAAGCAAACTCCGATCCGGACATTGCTACCACTTCGGTGAGAATGTCTCTCAAAGACCCAATATCTACCTTGCGAATCACAGTCCCGATTCGCTCAGACAGATGCGCTCACAATCAATGCTTCGACGGGTCCATGTTTATGCAGCTCCAAGAACAAGCCCCACAATGGCTATGCCCGATTTGCAACCGGACTATCCTCTTCGAATCTTTGCGGGTCGATAAGTACTTTGAAGACATACTGAATCGAACACCCAAATCCACCGAAAAGGTGGACATTGAGCCAAATGGCGAATGGCATGTTATCGATACAGGAGATAATGCGCGAGATAATCCTCCGCGAGGTCCGCGTGCGGCTTACGATGACGACTTCGATGACGAAGACGATGATGTTGAAATTGTCGAAATCAAAGACGAGCCGCCCAGTGCTACGCTTTCCAATGGAAGTTTCGCACGTTCGATGGCCCTGCCTGCTATATCGCAGATGACGACACCTCCTGTATCGTCGCGGGAAGCATCGATCGCCCAGCAGAACACCCAGGGCACGAAACGGCCTGCCACGGTGATGCCCACTGTGATTGATCTGATCTCATCGGACGAAGACGAACCGGTGCGGCCTGCTAAGAGACGGTTGACCAGTACGCAATTTAGAAACCCTGCACTATCCACCACCAATGTCGCGGAGAATATTACCGACAATACACCTTTGACATCTTCACATAACACACCCACCTCGGTTCCCGTCGCACCTCATTCGGTGAACCGACATCAGCCATCATCTCATCCCGCCGTCTCAACCTCCGCTCCAGCTGCTAATCCTTCTGAACCTCTTGCTGACCCCTTCAGGCAATCAACGCAGTCCACAAGACACCCATCAACGACAGAAGCCCTTTCAACCACATTTCCAAAACCAGCCAACGATCACTCCGAGTCCCACAGAAGCGGCAACGGCGAAAGTAATGTAGGCTCTGCCCAGGCCTATTTCGCCCGACACGCCAAGAATTCCGACCCGTTTGGAACTTCCATCAGCAGGTCTTCATCGCCCAATGTACAGCAAGATTTCAGCCGAGGGGCAGCGGACGGGCACTTTGGCAGCTACCGCGAACCGTCCAGGCCGAGCAATCCTCCTGGTGATAGAATGGAAATTGCTCAAAACACACCCGCCTGGTCTCGCTCATCCATGCCATGGGATGCAGACAGGCAGGACTACAACGATTCTCGACGTGGTCAACCATTACCACCTACGACGACCCAACAGGACCGGAACTATCACTTGGAGCATTATCCTCATCGCAGTCCGCAAGGATCAGCACGATCGACTTTACATGGCACATCATATTCACACCGATCGCCTCGCGAGGATGCACATGCGCAACTTCACAATCGTCCGACTTCGGCATCATCGACCGGTTTTGACCCAGCAACAAATCTGCCACCTCCTCCGTTGTCAGCACCGCCATCCCATCGGGATTCGTCTTCATATCAGCCTCCGCCGCAGACCATGAATCGGCCTCACGGTAATGTAGGTCCGACCAGCCCGGATCGCTCGCTTGCAGACGTGCGAGTTTCTTTGCGACATGCATCTGTGAGTGGCAATCCTGCTCAATCTGGCTCGCCACCTCGTAGCTCTGGAGTCGACAGCCAGGAGGATTGGTGGCGTCGGAACGACAACGTGAGGGCGCGGAGGGATCCTTGGGAACGAGGCCACAGCACGATCCCAGACCGCCGCGATCATAATGATACTCTGCATGATTTACAGGCGCGCCCTTCCCGTCAGTCCAGCTTTCACCATCACAATGGCGACATGGCTCGGAATTCAGCAGACTCGCCACCTTCCGCTCGTCATGTCCACGATAGGGAGTACAGCAAGCACCCGCATCCCTCTTGGTCCCACGACAGCAGTACCAATTACAGCCCCGGAAACGGCCTCCATCCCGCCCCGACCAACACCAACACCAACAGGAGCGGCCACAGCAACGGCGGCAACCGCGACCCTTATCAAACCCAGCGGAACACCCCCACCACATCCAACAACAGCAGGGCCCATCTCTCGACCTCGCCCAAGACCCACAGCTTCCCACCACCGTCAACCGTACCTGCTTTCGTCTCCAATCGTCATCCTCCCTCCCCCTCGAACAACAACCTCCCGCCCTACCCCCTCGACGACGGTGTCTCCCAACCCCCTCCACCTTCTTCGCAGAACTGGCGTTGATGATCCCAAAGGAAGAAAAGGCTCGGTTTGGGAGAAAGTCAGTCAGTAAACCTTCTCTCGCGGGGCTTTGTGGAAAATGGGTGCGAAGAGTGCGGAAAGGCACTCACACAGAGGAAAACCGATCTCGGGGAAATTCTTTCGATCGGGGAGAAACGTGGGCTGCTGGGAGAGGTTGTGAATTCTTTCTTTCTTCATGTCATTGTCATTGTTGTAATTGTGCAGCAGTGCCAATCTCTTTTCGATGTCGGTTCTTTTTTTGCTCTCCCAGAATCCCCCCCCCCCTTTTTCCGGCTCGGAAGTTTTGTTTTTTTGTTTTCTCTTCGTGTATGTGATGAATCGATGTGTGCATGCATGCATGGAATAGCATATGATAGGATATGGTATGATAGGATATTGTTGCTCCAGCTCCTACTTCTGCATCTGCTTCTGCTCTATGAGAGCGGCGATGTCATCCAGCCACGATCGGAGGAAAACCAGAGCATCTTTGTTCTTCACCAAAGGTAGTTTTTTTTTGCCAAATATAAAGCTTTACGAGCATTTTTATTCTACAGACGCATCTTTGCACTTCGGCGATCTTGGAAGGCGTGGCGAACGATGATGATGATGATAATAATACGAACGATGACAGGCGTGAGTCCATCCATATATGTCACGATGCCCGCCGCCATCTGGAGCCATCGCTCATACCTGTGCCGATGAGATTCGCCGTCCTGTTCTGCCTCACCTCTCTCTCTCTCTCTCTCTCTCTCTCCCTCTCCCGCGCGCGTTCTACAGTACAGTCACAGTCCTATCTCTCCCTCTCTCTCTCTAACTGAAATATGCAAAAGCGTAATTACCGGATATGGCATAGCGGGACAACTGTACAAAAAGCACATAAAATACATAAAGTCATGCGATTTTTTATGCCCTGAGATCGAATGAAGCTTTTCCCTTCCTTTTTTGGTGAGAGGGCCGGATCGTCCCACCAATGAGATCGAGCTTCAGGGGTCGTGCCGGAGTCCGAACACGGATAAGTGCCGAACCCTTCTTTGGCAGCCCTGAAACGGGAAGGGGACGGGAGAAACCCTGAGTTCGTTTTTCGATTTTTGTGTGGGCGTGTGCACGTTTCAGGCAAGGAGGGACAACAGAAAAAGGGCGGAATTTATTTTATCGAACCACTTTCGCGGCAAATCCCATGTCCGCCGCCGCCGCCGCCGCCGCACGCCACTACCACTACAGAGTGTTTCCGTCCCAATGCAGGTGAGAGAGACGCTATACTACCATGCATGCGCTACCGCTGTCGCTTCGGAGCTCTTCTTTCCCGCACGTATCGTATGTTGTATCGGGAGGGAGGGAGACTGACAGCAACAACGAAAAACACCAACGACTCCCTCCGTGATGAGCATGAGAAGTCCGAGTACTGCATTTTAGTATACTGTGTTGTATACGCCGCGAGGAGAAAGGACGGCCATGGTGCAGGGTGATGCGTGCAAATGTCTGGCTGCTTGCTACAGGGAGAGATTCTTCAGAAATCTCGAGGCGGAGCTATCCTCATCCTCCTCCTCCTAGCACGTCTTCTCCCCCCTTCCCGCCAATGCGCCGCCGCTGCAACATCCGGACGGGTCCCTAACCGTGCCCGGGATGTGACAGTACAATCAGCAGCAGCAGCAGCGACATCAGAATGAATAATAATGATGATCCACCCTACACCTGGGGAGTAGTACCGTACTGTAGACGAAGGGGTTCCCGGCCGCCGTGGGTTCCCGCCGCTGTCGGCCCGCCCTCGAATGCGTGGCACTTTCGTAGAATCTCATAATAATCATTTCGTTGGGATGCTTGTTTGCAAGGTGGGAGACAGTACAGCACTGCTGCAGTTCAGGAAATCGTTCGGTCTCGGTTCTTATCACGGAGCTGTGAGTGAGTGACTGTGGCTGCTACTACCTACTACTGTACCTCTGCCGCATTTGATTTGTCAGGTCGGCGGTCGTCTCTTCATATCCACCTCTACTCTTACTTTCCTCACTCGCTCTTCTCTCTTCTTTTAATCTGATCTTCCTGTTCTCTCAACACGATCTCACAGACACACACACACCCTCGCTACCACCGAACGACCGCCGCCTTGAGCTGGTGCTCTTGTCGACTTCGCTCCTCTCGCTGTGCTTCGCTGCATAGCTACACGATCCCGCTGCTACCACTGTCATCGCTTTTACCTCTCATCACCGCCATTGTCCTCGACGGGACATTGACCCTCGAGAGCTCTCCCTTGGACGTCCCAGGATACACGCACTCGGGCGACCGCGAACATCACTTTCACCCGACCCGCAAGAGCAGAGCGCGCATAGATCGCGAAGGGGGACAACACACCACCCGGTCACATCCCTCACGACCCGCCCGTCATGGACGTCGTCCTCGAATTCGCCGACACCTATGTCTTCGATCGGATCTACGCCAACCTCCTCCCTCTTCACACCTCGTCCGCTTCCTTCGACCCCATCTCCACCATCACCGCCTCCTTCAAGAACGGTCTCCAGGGCGTGGGCGCCAACGTCGTCAATGCCACATTCGCTGCCGCCACCGCCGCGGCCACATCAGAGACCCTCCCGATTCGATCGACGTGGCAATGGGAGCCGGCGAGCCAATTCATGAGCGCTGAGCCGAGTGAATATGCATACCTCAGCCAGTGGGATCGGGACAACGTCCTCCGACAGTCCATCACCTTGTTTTTCGTCACAATGTGAGTAGATCATGCCTTGCACTTTGCGAGCGGTGTTGGCCCTGCAGTAGTCAAACACCGCTTCACTCGACGTCCCCTTCTTGCGCTGCCGGGGCGATCCAAACGCTGACATTTCCCTCTCTCCCAGGGTCTCCGCGAACCTCCTCTACTTCGTCTTCGCGACGCTCAGCTATCTCCTCGTCTTCGACCACGCAACCTTCAAACACCCCAAATACCTCAAAAACCAGATGCGCCTCGAGATCACCCAGGCCGTCACCTCCATCCCCGCCATCACCCTCCTCACCGTCCCCTTCTTCGTCGCCGAGGTCCGTGGCCACTCCTACATGTACGACACCCTCGCCGACGTCGGCTACGAATCCTCCGTCCTCTCCTACTTCGGAAACTGGTACACCTACCTCCAGTTCCCGCTCTTCCTGATGTTCACCGACTTCGGCATCTACTGGATCCACCGCGGCCTGCACCACCCGATCATCTATCGCCACCTGCACAAGCCGCACCACAAGTGGATCATGCCGACGCCCTACGCCAGCATCGCCTTCCACCCGCTCGACGGCTACGCCCAGAGCGTGCCCTACCACGTCTTCCCCTTCCTCATGCCGCTGAACAAGTTCGCCTACCTCGCCCTCTTCACCTTCATCCAGATCTGGACCGTCATGATCCACGACGGCGAGTACGTCGCCGACTCGCCCATCATCAACGGCGCCGCCTGCCACACCATGCACCACCTGTACTTCAACTACAACTACGGCCAGTTCACCACCCTGTGGGACCGCCTCGGCGGCTCCTACCGCCGCCCGAACCCGGAGCTCTTCCGCAAGGAGCAGAAGATGTCCCCCGCCGAGTGGCAGCGCCAGACCCAGGAGATGGAGCGCATGGTCGTCGAGGTCGAGGGCGCCGACGACCGGAGCTACGCGCCCGAGGAGGCGAAGAAGACGCAGTGATCGTCCTCCCCCACCATTCCATTCCCCCTCGGAAGAAATGAATTCAAAAAATTCCACGATGGTTTTTTAGGCGCCGTTTTTTTTTTCTCTTTCTTTGGCTTAATATCCTCGATTTCCCCGCTCGCGCCATGTCTTCGCGACGGTCGTTTCTACCAACAGGGGGTTCCTTTGCTTTTCTCTCTCTCATCGGGCGCAATCTCCTTCCACTTTTGGATTTTGTTCCCTCCCTCCTCTATACTAGATCATATTATAGGATATCGAGAATGGAACATGGCTATTTCTGCCTCGGTTTCCCCTTTCTCTCTGTCTCTCTCTCTCTCTCTCTGTGTGTGTGTGTGTGTGTGTCTCGATAAATATATATACATATATCCCTCCCCCGACTTCTCCCGTCCTACGTTATAGAGTAGTACGGACCGGAGTAGTCGATTCCACGCGGTTTTCATCTTTCATCTTTCATCTCTCATGTTCCATGTTTCATGTTCGTGTCCGTGCTTTGATTGTCGCTATGGTTCTCCCTCTGCTGCTTCAGGGAGCTTTTGTTCTTGTATCCCCCTTCCCCTTCCCCTTCCCTTTCCCTTTGCTTCCTCCCTCCCCAGTCTCAAATCTTCTCTAGAATCGCGCCTCCTTCTCCGGGCCTATCTCCGGGATCATCTGCTGCTGCTGCTGCTCCCTGATCACCCCATCGCCTAGAAGGTTTTGTTTCACTGCATCATGCATGACGTGGGATGATTGGTTTCGCCTGCCCTGCCTCCCTCCGCTGGTCTTCTCTCGAGGGAGAGGATGTATAGATCGTTTGCTTCACTGCTCGGGAAAATCAACGAGAGGGAGGAATGCGCTCTTGCTGGTTATCTGGCTATCTCGGTATCTCTGAGAAGGGAAGGGAGGTAGAGAGAGAGAGAGAAAG